TGAAGAAAAAGAAAAAGAAATATATTATATAATATAATAAATATATAATATATTATAAAATAGTAAAAAAATATGTTTTCGATGAAATATAATTTTTATTTCTGTATCATACCATTATTCAGCCTTATATGAAGTGTTACAACAGCGGTGTATGATGTTAATTCTCAAAACATGAAGCATTGGTCATATTCCTAATGTTACACGTGTAGATATATTGTGCAGTTGTGGCAATGCTTGTGGTTAATCGGTAATGTCAAATGACACTAGCTCTTGCAACTATTATTTTCTTTGTATTTTATCATTAATATCATCAATCGAGATATTTAATCTCATTTACTTTATCTACATGCACTTTGGAATAAAATTAAACTTATGTAGTAACACTTCGGTTTACAATTGTTGACAGAGAATCATACGTTATAATTAATTACATATCATTCTGCATTTAAAGCTTTTTAAATTGATCATTACATATTTACATATATCGCGTTTATAATTAATAATACATATTATCCTTGATATCAATTTTCTCATTCACAGAGTATAGAAAATTGTATTTAATAGACAATGTACTACGTAATATCCCTGTCAATGAACACAATACGGAAACCCGTTTTGAGTAAAGTATAATAACATAAATTGCTAGTTTTAAACGTTAAAATACAAATGGGAACTAAAAGTGCAACTAACGTTTGGCACTTCGGTTAGGATCTTTTCTTTCTTTCCAAAAAAAAAAAAAAAAGAAAAAGAATCCTTTTCTTCCCTTTTTGAAACTATTATTCGTGAATTAAAATAGTACCTTTTTCTCACATTGTTTTCTTTAGAAAACATATTCCTACATGTGATGAATGACAACAAAACGCATATTATAATTTGATTAGATCACAACATAAAAAAAATATTTATATAGGTACAACGGGCAACCACAAAAAATTTGATAAACAATTATTTTTATTATATACAATTGAGCGAAAAAGATTCGCTTTTTAATTATTCTCCTCGTAATACGTTATTTCGTTTGTACAAAATTGTTTCATCCCAAGAATCGCTGATCCAAACGTACCTCGAATAAAAAAATCTTTGATCTTACAATTGGAAAATGTATTTAATTGAATGGCTAAAAAAAATGTTTGAAATCAATTAAAATAGATTGAGTTCTTAATATGATAGTACACTAACGAAGTACGTTGTCACCTACCCTTGGCATTTCATGTATAGATGTGTCAGTTCAGAAATATAACAACAGTCAGCGACATACAAAAATTGTGATCTGTCATTTAAAAAAATTGAGCTAATCTTAAAACTATCCTTACATTATTATTTAGGACACAAACGAGGGAAGTGATCGCCAGAGGCACTCTCAGCTTAGTTCACCAAACGCAAATCATATACTGACACTAAATAAATTGTATAAACACGCTTGCTTCGTATATGACATCAAATAATAGATCTATACTAATAAATCAATGTCCTGTAGTTTATATAATAGTTTCATTGTAATTATCATTTTTCATTTGATTTTTCAATTTCTGTATTAATTTGTCATGCTAACATATAAATCAATAATTACGTTATTAAAATTATTTCCAATTTTAAACGGCATTATGTCTTATACATAATTAAGTTAAATATGTATAGAATTTTGTATGCACCTTGATTTTTAACATCAATCAATATGTAAACTTCATCATATTAATGCGTGTCTGTTAATACAATAAGAAATTCAATATACGTTTAAGAACTTAAGTCTATCGCCCATCATTAATTGTGATAAATAAATTAATTATACAATTAAACATTTACACCTTACTATTTCGTCCATATTCCAAAATTTGTTTATGATAAAAAAGCAAATATCTGAAAAACAAAAAAGGTATTTCCATAATTTTCCTTGATCATAATGCGTATAATGTGGATAATTTTGATTATTAATTAACTCACCCTTCACTAGTTAACACATCTTTTAATTTTGCTCTTGTTATTAAATGGTCATCGCACTTAAACCATTGATCCCTTTGTTGTCTAATGAATGCTGTATAATGACCTGTCTCCAGAGAACCTTCATGATTAATTACAGCAAACAGTGAGTATCGATTATCACTGAACGTCATATCTTCACCATTTTTTGGCAAGCCATCGATCATAGAGCTATTGTTATTACCATTACGCCTGTGTGACATGAAAGGAGTCATGTCTAATTGTTCCGGAAATGAAATAAACGTAGAGATCTTTTTATCTTGAATGCTGGAGTGCTCAAATCGTTTCAGATGAAAACTAGCTACGATTGGTAATTGCTTCATTGTTAATTGTTTCGTACTTTCTTGATAAGTTTGACAATTGCTGCATTTTATTTTTGCACTAGAGCCTAAATGTTCTGCTCGCGTAAATCTCTCTAAACAATCTAATAACGAGGTAGGAGGTCCAGAATTATCCGATCCTGATGCACCAGCCGCGGGACCTAAATCTAAGGATATGTCCCAGAAAGGATCTATTGTAGTCGAAACTCCACTAAAAAGTAATAATAAATAGTTAATAATACATACGTTAAATGCATGTTAATGAGTTTTAATAACAATAAAAAAAAATCGTACTTGCAAGCCTGACAAACAACATCACTCTGAAGTCCACCAGTAAATATTTGATCGATAATGCAGTTACAGTGATGGGGGTTATCTTTCACCAAAATTGGTGCAGCCTCGCAGTGTCTATGCAAGACATCTAAAGTAGCGATAAAAAATTCGTGCGCATCTTGCTGTTCGTACCCTGCTAGATGCCTCGCATGTGTCCAGATTAAGTGAAGCAGTTTATGAAGCGTTAGAGGTGCTTTACTACCCGAATAAAATTCCTGAAAAAGGTGGGACACTTCACAGACTAGGCAGCGAGTGGGTTGTGGGCAGTGATGACGGTCAGCCAGGAAGTAGTCTCGTAATAATGGAGTGTGTATTAATGCCTGCACAATACAGTTCATGAAACATGTGCTGCCAAGGTTTATAAGTCCTCTTAGACCTAAAAAACGTTAAAGATATTTTTTATTAATATTTTATATAATATGATTTTTTTTTCAAATTAATCTTAACAAGCTCATAAATATATATGTTTAGTCTTTTAAATATTTTTAATAAGTAAAGCTCTGAATGAATACCTATAGTAGAATTTTCTACAACACGCCTTCGCCGTGGATGTTTTCGCAGCAACTCTGCCTCTATTTGAGTAGGTTCCCAAGTACGATAAAATTCTCCAAAGCTTAATGATTTTGCTAATTGGCTCCATTGCGCTTTAGCAACAGATAACAATTCTCTATCATAAACGTAATCGCCGCATTGGAAGCACAAAATATTACCATAACTTAAATCCACAGCTGGAACATATATATAAATTTGTAATTAGCTATATTACAATATAAAAAAAAACCTTCAAATTATTAATTCTATAAATATATACATAAGTAACTTCAACACACAATACTCTAGACCCGTACCACAAGCTGCAATTGTTAAAGGATTTTTATATTAATCAAACATACTTGTCAATTCATACACATATATATAATTATGTTGTGTTAATAAGTATTTATATATATATATATATATATATATATAAATTACCTAAAAAATGTTTCTTCGTTTTTGCATGCTCCTGTATGTGACCTTTCACATAGCAACCAAAAAATATACAATGGAGACAAGAATGGAGACGATCTTTGTAAGTATTACACGTATGACATAAGCAGCTTACAGCCTGAAAAATAAATTTAATTAATATATATCCAAATAATATTAACATAAAATTAGTGGTAATGAAAAGAATTGTTCCCCTTAAAAAAATAATAATAATGTAATATTCTTATATAAGCATTTCTAATCGCATTTTTTTTTAATGATGACAAATATTTTTTATCTTCTCGTTAAAGATAAAAATAACAAATAACATTCTCTATATTTGTTTTTCGCGCGATTTTAAAATGCATTTGACTACTAACATGTATTTGGTCAACACAACGTCTAAAAAATAAATACGAATCATTAATATGCAGCACTGTTGCATATCAATGAAACGCAATAAAATTATTTGAATGCTTTATATTTCGTAAAATTCTGCAACCTACAATCCTAAAATATTGTACTATATGCTATTACAAAGTTGATAGTAAACAGATCCATGTTCATCCCTGAAAATTATGAATGAATATAACCTAATGAAAACATGAAGTGGTTATGTACTACATACTACGTGATACATTACACGAAAACAACAAAAAACATATGTTCACGTTAGGTTATTGGTCTCTCTATTATCTGCATTATCCATGACTCAGAGAAAACAAAAGGCAGGGACAAGATTAAAGATAAACAGAAGATAAATGTGGTGTGGAAAAAGAAGAGTTAAAGATAAATAGATAAAACAAGAGAGAACAAGAGATAAGAATACGAAAACAAGATGTCGCATAAATGAAATAAGGATTACGCTTTTCTTTTCTTAAATTTGTTTGTAAAAAAATGTTAGATTTCCAAAAGTACGGTATAAAAATTCGCAACACAGAGAAATTCGATGGTAGAAAAAAGGGGGTAAGGAAAACTACTTACCTCATAATAACCAGAGGAAGAAAAAGATAAAGATAAGGCGACAGAGCGCGTGTGTTATGCATAGATGACATGTATAATGCGCACACACACAACATACACACACATATATATAACCATATAACATATGATAAAAAGAGAAGGAGAGGGGGTAGAGAAAGATAGATCAAATTGGGAGGACTCGCGCGTGATAGGAATAAAGGAAAGATGTAATGCAATAAAGTTTTCAAGTTGAATGGTGTACTAGTTGAAGAAAAAAAAATCTTTCCGCACCTTCCTTACGCGTGCCTCGGTAGATAAGCTGGTCACGAAATAGGAGTGTATCACTTTGTATGGCTGGATGCCCTTCGCTGCTTTGAAATTATTCAAGTGTATGCAGCCATGGTCGCTCATCTCAAGCCTGCAGCTTGAGCGAGGTTGGTGTGCCTCCTCGACGTCGTCGTCCTTCTTGCCCCCCCTGTCTCCTTCTTGTCCCCCCTGTCTCCTCTTGTCGAATAACTCCCTCAGTTGTTGTACGAGGACGTCGCCGGGGTTGTCTTTGACAGGAGTTATCCTTGGCTCGTAAAACAATCTATCTTTGGTGTTATCCCTTCTCTTCTTTCTTCTCTTTACGAGAGAATCTGATAATGTCGATCGAGAGGAAATTAATGTAGAAGCCTCCCACCGGCGCGACGCGCACGACGGCGAGCCGACGACGACGGCGGCGGTGGCGACCGAGCCGCCGACGTGGAGTGCTTGCTCGGCGACGCCGACGGAGGGGCCGACGGAGGGGACGATGGAGGAGACTCCTGTGCGCGGAGGGTAGCACGCTGGCTTTGGTAGAAGCGCGCGTGTCGTTGACATGGAAAAGTGCGTGAGCTTTTCAAAATAAAAGATCTCGAGGATTTTATCCTAATCTAACAATAATTATTTCGTCTTATCTTGTCTTGTGTCGTCTTGTCTCGTCTCGTCTCGTCTCGTCTCGTCTAGCCTCGTGTCGTATCGTCTTCTAACACTATTACACAGCGCTTATGTCTCCCCCTAGGGCACAAAGGGAGATTCGAAGAGAAATAACGCGCGCATGAGGGAGAGATTAAAAATAGGGGAGAGAATGAGAGAGAGCCAAAGAAAAAAACAAAAAAACGGATAATAGCAACACTTTAAGATAGAATCGTTGTAATATTATTGCCAAACTAAGAATGATGAAGACAGTGAGCTTTACAAATAAATGAAATCGACACTCTCTTCCTCTCTACTACGCTTTTTCTTCCCAACTGTGCACGCACACCAGCCGGTCAGTGCAGGCGGTGCCGGCATGAAGCCTTCTTTTATCCCCACCACTATCTTATTTTATATTACTAAACGTCACTGTCAAGGGCGCGCTCGTGGAGCTCCCTATAGCCTATTACCATTGATAGTTTCATTAGTAACTTTCTTCTTTGTATTAGGGATGTTATTGGTTGTACCATACTGCTTCAATTTAACCAATCGCGTTCTCGCTTACGAAAAACAATAATGTTGATTGTTTTTTACAATTAATTCTTTGTTTTTTATAAAATTATTTCACGAAATATAATTAATTTATTTTGATTATTTATATGCTTTCTTTATTATTATTTTTGTTTAAGAATCTCAAATAATTTACTAAGTTACCTACATAAAAAATGGCAAAACCATTATAATTAAAACATTAAACATTAACATTAAATTTTCTGTTCTTTTATTTGTGAATAATTTAAATTGTAGTAATTATTCACTCTTTCAACATGACGGTTGCGCATTTAGTGTCATGAATAAGCCTATTAATGCATTTGAAAATGTTGTGAGTGGCGCGCCCTATAGTAAGTTTGTATTTCTGGTTTATATGCGCTCTATGTGTGTTCTTACATGTTAATTCACAATATTATAAACATATTTAAGTTTATTTAAATCATAGTAAAGTTAGATTAGTTTAAATATTATACAATGGAAGAAGTTACAAAGTGTAGTTATATTAATTGTCGTGATCTTCTAGAAAAAGAACAAATATTTCATGAATTACCAGTAAGCGACATTGATTTATGCATTAAATGGCTGATAAACAGTGGCCACGAATATTTAATCAAACACGATTTTTCAACATTAAGACCAATGAAATTTTTTGTATGTAGTAATCATTTTAAAAGCGACTCTTATTTAGCCAAAGGAACGCTGAAAGAAAATGCTATACCCCAGCCTTATTGGCATTATAAAAGAAGAATTAATGATTTATCTTATGTGAGTTGTTTTTTGCTATTTTTATTAATATAAATGAAATATATATTGTTTCATTGTTTTAGGCTGAACATAAATCTAAATTTGATCAAATTACAACAAAAACAAATAAACATCGTGCTCATGTTTATCAGTTTAAAGAGCAAAATGGAAATGCAACAAACAATAATATTCTTGAAGAAAGGTGGTGTAGAACATGTGCTACGAAAAGAAGTAATGTAGTTAATATGACATTAAAGAAAAGAAACACTGAAATGAGTCTTCTTTCAAAACTAAAATTATTGATAGAGATTGATGATGAAGATACATTACCATTAAACATGTGCTATGATTGTGTGAAGAAATTAGAACAATCATTTCAATTTTTTCAACAAATTTATATAGCTGACAATACACTGCGTCACATTTTTCCTAAAGAACAATTGGATAATGATTGCTATGGTATAACGATAGATAGAGTAGATGGTTCTGTTAGCGATATAGAATTTGACCCAATATTACAATCTAATGAAGATGATCAATTATCGATAAAATCTAAATTGTTAGATACCAAAGGAAATGAAAGATCTTTATCTAAGGTTTCAAAAAAAGAAACATTTTTGGAAGATACATCTACCAGCATTAAGTATGGCACTGTATTTTCATTACTTACGGATACCTGCCAAACTGATGAAGAACTTCGTTGGATAGATGTTTTAAATGCGATAGAACGTCAGAAGGTTGCATGTTTTCAAAAAAAAGTATTTCCAAGTAAAATTAAAATATCTTGCGAATTCTGTATTAGTAAGTTTACATTAAGACGTCAATTGAAAACGCATTTGATTAATAATCATTCTAAAGAAGTTAGAACTATGTGTATGGATTGTTTAATCTACTTTGAGGATGAATTGTTTCTCTTAGAGCATCGTGCTATTGTACACCATGATGATCAATTACATCGATGCGATTATTGTCAGAAATGTTTCACCAGAAAAAGAGGTTTGAGACTTCATATTACTAGATCACATGCTAGAAAAAGATCTTATTCGTGTGATGTGTGTCAACAAAAATTTGTATCAAAACAATATTTAACCCTGCATATTGAAAGTGGCCATTCATGTGCTAATATAAAAAAAGAAAAACAACTTAACGAAAAAACTCAAAATGTATGCATGATTAATTTTGATGTCAATACTAATCAACCCAACGATTTAAAGACGTCTCCTATAAAAGAACAGAAAATAGTAGATACATCTATTAATAAAGATTTTAATCATATAGAATTATCTCCTATTTCTTGTCCTAACAATGAATCACAATCCATGCATTTAGAAAATACTGTTAATTCTGTCGTTGAAGACCTTATGGAAAGTTAATGCTTTATATACTTCATGTGTTTGTGTATATTTATGAGAATGTGTGTGGATCTTTATGACAAGAAAAAATAGATGTAAATTAAAGAGATATTTGAAATCTTGCAATAAATATCCAGTGTGATAATTTAACATTACAAAAAAACAAATATCAAACGTAAGTTATATCGTTATAGCTATTTAAAACATATGTTCCAGCATTATATATATTATCTATCATTCTATTATAATTAAATATATTATATATCTTTCGTGTTTTCCTTTTTAATAATGCAAATGTTCATAAATAGAACTTCGATGAATGGATAAATTTTCAATATAATTCAATTTTTAATAATAATTTCAATTTCTCTGTCTTTGTATTTATGTATCATTTCTTTTTGTTTAATAAGAAGAGAATAAAAAAATGTTGTAGTTAGCTGTTTTTTTTTAATAAAAAAGAAATTTGTATCATTTGTTTCAAGGGTACGGCATTTTTATAGACATTTACTTCAATATAGGTTTCATTGTTTTTGATTAAAAACATTTTTAATTTAACCTTCATATTACGTTCTATTAGACAAAGAAAGATTTAACATTGTAAATAATGCTAGTTTGTTAAACATAAAGTGGTAAAAAATATTTCTTTTTCTTCTTTCAGAATTATGTATGTCAAAATTTAAAAATATAGCCTATGCTAGTTAATAATATTTTTTTCATTTCAAGTAAAATAATTTCTAGGATTTTCTAAATTCTCAATATGTTCTATTAATATATCTTATATTAAATGTACGACATAAACATTGTTTAAAATTGCCATCGTGTAATATAATAAAAAGATATGTTAAAGTTAAAAATATTGGTAAAAAACGATAAATAAAAAAGGTTGCTATGTGCTGTACATCTTTCGATTAACTCTTATTATTTACAAAAAAGTTATCATCATTCTAAGTACCATTAAGCATGTAATAAAATTACTTGGGGGACAAGAGGGAAAGGGCTCTCTCTCTCTCTCTCTCTCTCTCTGTAGGAGATTATTTTTTTTTATTTAAAATATCACGAATAGAATCTGTCATTACGATCTTGTCGCGATTTTGAACAGTGTGCTCGTCGCTCGGTAAATTCGGCCAATCTAATTGACGATATTGCAGAGCTTGCTGGAGTCTACAGAAAAAAGAACATTCTTATCATATTATGAAAATTACTGTTTTTTATTGCTAAATCATTTATTACCTTGAACCAAGGCGATGTTAAAGTAGCTTCAGCGGTAGCTCTTTCTTCGCCATGTAAACACAATAATCTTCCAAGAAGATCTTTCGCGTCGTTAGATATAGATTCAAAGTATTCATTGGGAAAACAAAAATCGCACTTTAATATATTCGCAGTTGTTTCTTCTACAGAATCATCTAGAAATGGCGATACACCGCTAAAATATAAAATGTAACAAGTAAATCTACGTTGTCGATTATAATCGCAATTGATATAAGCATTGTAATTTAATAAAGAATATCAATTAATATATCACCTTAAAAGTACATAAATGAAAACACCAGCAGCCCACATATCCGTACAAGTTCCTGTAGGTTTACCAAGTACCAATTCTGGTGCTGCGAATTCTAAATCGGCAGGTGGTACGACTTCGTCGACTGGACCTCTTACTGCTTCACCAAGATCTATTAATTTAACTATACCGCTATCCTGATCTACCAATACGTTTTCAGGTTTTAAATCTAAATGCGCTGTGTTACGTCTATGTAACCATTGAAGAGCTGACAACAATTGACTCGTATATTTGATAGCCATTCCTTCCGTATAATCTGGTTTTTTACTAAGGTAAACAAATAGCGTTGGACCTCGAACTCTAAATAATGTCAAGAAGTTAAATGTAACGTATGTGCATGTGTAGAAAAATTTAAGGAATTATATTCTATGAATAAAACTTACAATTCTAGCACGATCGTATCGAATCCTGGACGTGGAGCATTTTCAAATAGAGCAAAGGCTCTAATGATGTTACCATGATGACTAGACGCTAACAAATCATACTCGGCTCGAGTTAAGGACCGTGGTTGCTTGTGTCTTGGAGTTTGCTTAAGTGCCACTTCTTGACCCGTTCCTTTATCACGAGCACGTCTTACAGTTGCAAATCTACCCTTCCCTAATTCATCTAGTTCTAAATATCTCCCAATAAACTGCTCAGTTTCCCAATTTACGTTATCTTCAAAACCAGTCAACGTTATTTCCGCGGAAGATGAAGTAACGTTTCCATTTTTCCCAACAATACGAAAACTGTATGACGCGCCAGGCGGTAATTCTAAAGTCATTGGTGGATGTTTTACATCCGTTGCCATCAAAACCCAAGTTTGAAAAGGTGCTGTTCTACCTTCTATATTGTACGAATCAACGCTGGAACATTCCCAATCTATTTCGATCTTTGTCGGACCAACGACTCGCGCCCACGTACTTCCACTTCCGCCTAAAAAAAAATCAAATTAACAATTATTCGAAAATCATCGTTTACTGTTATGTTGTATTTGAATTAATAATTGTTTAACGTTAGACGAATTCCTGATTCTCATACCTGTGATAAAAAGGGAAATCTCTGTCCAGCAAGAACCAGTGTCATGTTCAACATAACATCGGTATAATCCCGAATCTGATTGACGACATCTTACAATTTCTAAATAGAGAAAAGCAGCGACTTGTTCAAATCGATAACGATCGCTTTCTCTAATAATTTGATTATCTTTCTCGTCTTCTTTCTTCCACGTAACAGTTGCTGAATCGACGTTAATAATTTCCACCGAAAGTCTAACATCTTCACCAGCAGTTGCCTTTATCATACTTGTACTTGCTAGGATAGTAGGCGGTCCCTTTTTTTCTGGAGATCTATCTTGTGGTTGTACAATATCTTTATTGGAATCTATTTTGCTCGGACGGAAGGACCATGCTCTACTTATAGACAAATTTGGAACAAGGCTAGCTGGTATCCATAGTTCTTCTTTCTTATTATGATGTGAAACTACTAGTCCAGGGCCGTCCAAACGAGAAACGACGAGTTCGTCACCGGCACGTAGTTTACCCCAGTCGGCTGCCAATCTTACTCGTGCACCCGGAACGACCTAAACAATAAGATTACTCAATCATTGTTGTTCTATTTATTTATATTCTTCTATAAATTGCACATTATTATAAATTGAAGTAAAATTGATCATGCAAGCATATCACTGATACAGTAGCGCATTCAATACTCCATCATGCTCACCAAAAGTTATAGAAGTATGAAAGTAGCTATCTGGATGATGTAGTAGTAGCAGATAGTACAGTAGTAGTTAGTAGCGATAGAATAATAATAGCAGTAGTAACAACAGTTGCAGCGGCCAATGATGATGAAGAGAATGACGATTGCAATCATAGCAGTAACAATAGTAGAGAGAGATAGAAATAGAATAGTAGTGTAGTAAATATGATAATGGTATTAGTAATAGCAGTAATAGTCGTAGTGGTAGTAGTAGTAACAGCAGTAGCAAAAATAATAGTAAATCTGATAGTTTTGTATAGCAATACAGCAGCAGTATATAATTATTATCTTATTGTTAATAGTCTGAACATTTACGGCGATAATATAAATAACAACGGTCCTAGTAGTCCTGTAATACTATAAAAACTATCGTTTTATATTTTCTTTTTTCACTTTAGGTAGGCTAGCGTGTTAGTTGTTGGAGAATATTATTTTCTTTTGCTCCTCGGCCTGACGGTGTTATGCTATTTACCGATCAAAAGTTCTAACGTGCGTCTACTACACTGCACTTAGCAAACGACAACAAGACAACAACTAATAGTGACCCGATCGTACGCTTTTTCTGATAATGCCTCGCTCGGTTTATTTCTCTAACAATAAAAGATCGAGGATTTGTGGATTCGACGACAGAAGGTAATGCAGTACATAGCAGTTAGCGACAGACATCAAGAAGGAGAAGAGCCCCTTTGCTGCAATCAAGAATACTAATTATAGAATGCGAATTATCTAACTAGCATATTATCGATATGAACATCGGTTAATCGTTATGAAATATTTCTCACCGGTATCGAATTGGTACGAACTGGGGATCGAGCGCGTAGAGTATTCCTGAATCCATCGAGGAAGTTAAGCCTACTCTTCGTCGGACTCGGCGTCCGTGGTAATTCGCAATCTAAACCACCGTATTGAGTCCTTTGAATCGGTCGAGTTATCTTCTGCTGAGGAGGGAAACTCTTTTCTTTGTGCATCGTTCCGGGGGATACTGTCGAAAGCGTCGGGGCTACTGATATGGTCTCTCGAACCACTGGCTCCGTTGTTGGAACTCGGCTATTTGTCAGCAAATTATAAATGAAAACAAAACACAGTACTACGCGTCAAGGTTCGTTTTAATTATAATTATATTTTGTTTTCTTTTCAATATTTACTAACAAGTCATTTATACAATTAGATCACAATTGGATCGCCATTGAATTTTTAAATCGATCAGGAAATAAGTTTGTAAAAAATATCAATTACGAGCCGAACGAGTCTTGACGTGAATTTGATGCGATATCACAACAGGAGATGAACAAACCAAAAATTATAATTCATTCGTAATCAACAATATAGAAAGAAATAATATCGAATAAAATAAAATTTCTAAATAGCCTTATTTAACATTGAAACAAACAAGTATCTTTCTGTGGGTATGTGTGTGCGTGAGTGTTTGTGAAATTAAACAACTAACATCAACGTTTTTTTTGAGAAAATAAAGGGCGTTTAACGACGTTTCCTTTCTCAAAGACCATCGTTGAAAGATGTGATATTAAATTATTTTATGGATAATTAACAAAGGGGAAACAAATAAAAGGATTGTTTTGTCAAGATAAAAGAGAGAAAAGTCGTGAAACGTAAAAAAGAGAAAAATAAACGACAGTAATAATAAAGAATAAAGAATTCCGAAATAGCTAATCGCAGTACTGTGTTCACTTAAAATAATAATAAAACAAGCCATTAGTCGCATGCACGGGTACATTAGGTAGGCGTGAGAAAGAAGGACGCATTATAATCACAGTCTTCGTATTTTACAGTTTATTCTAAACAATATCATTTACGTTTCGCGAGTTGATTATAGCCCTGATTTTTTGATGCTTTTTCGAGAATTAATACGTACTATGTACAGTGTACTCGTCACCAGATACCTCACATAAATGGAATTTATAAACGTTATTAAAATTATTATAAATATATTGTACATTCTCGAGATAATTATATCATTAAATAGCGTGGTACACACCCGAGGCGTGAAAATTGTACATCGTATGTGTGCCGTATGCGATGTACGCATTTTCGTATACGTAAGTATACAATACTTACATACGTAAACGCACGCGCGCGGGATACTTTCACGCATGACATCCCCAGACACCACCCACACACGCGCGTACGCACGCACTATGTATATGCACATTGGAACGGATTAACGCTCGTTTACAGGCCTTGGAAGCGAAAGGTGGCTGTGGAAGAGTAATACAACGATCCATAGAGCTTTAGAGAAGAATAGGAGAGGGGGCAAAAGACCAAAATGTGATCCATTTGGAAATGGAAAAGTACTTTGACATTCGGCCTCAACCGATTCTAATTTATCTAGAAGTCTAACTTGTTTGTTTTTTTTTTGCTTGTAATTTTTACTTCATTCAAAGTATAAGTTCTTTTCTTTTACGGTATTATTTCTCTTAAAAATACTTCTCCTTTCTCGATCTCGACATGTTAGATTTTGTTCATATTTTTCATATTTTTTTATATATATATATTTTTCACTTTTTCCCTGCTTTTTTTGTTTGTTTCTTTCTTTTTGTCCTTTTTCTATTGCCTGCTTTTTCTTTTGGATAAAGTTTAATTATAGAACAACGTTATTACGTTAATACAAAGTCGAATTTTCACTTTAAATAATTCGTCGACAGCGTATATTCCTTACATAGATCGTTTCTCGGTCGAAGGTAGTATGTATGTATGTATGTAATAAGTAAAGTAAAGGATTATCTTTCTTTCTTTTTTTCTTTTGTATGGTTATTCGTGCTGCTACGGGATGATGATACGGAACATTTTGGAAAATACAAGTATTAAAAGAGGTAACCAAGTATATCTCTATTTCAAGTGATGACGGAATAAATAATGACAATACATATCGTTATAAGAAGAAGAAGAAGAAGAAGAAGAAGAAGAAGAATAACGATGACGATTCCGATGAATGACGATGATATGTGTTAACAGGAACAACAACGATAACAACAACAACAACAACAAGAATGGCAACAACGAAGAAAAGATCCTTGAATAATCGAAGGAACGCCGATCATGTGCTAAGGGTAGAGACTAAAGAATCCAAGGAAAAAGGACGAAGGTGATGATTTAGGTGACGACTACGGTTATCTAGCTTACAGCGCTTGTATCTCTTTTTTTTATATAAAATATACAAAAATATGTCGGAACGAATATTCACAGGTCGAGTGTTAAAGAGAGTCAGTGTAATTCAGTGGTAAATAGAGACGCTTACAGTGGATCTTTGGTAAGTTCCTTTTGGTAGGCAATCGGTGACTGTAACGCCTTGAGAAAGTCACGTTGTGTTTGTAGGATAGCAGTGATCGTATCTACCCATTCCTGTCTGCGAGGTCCATTTTCTTCAACTACGCTGCAATAAAATCCTAGACCGGGCTTTCGAGGATCCGTAGATCGAATCACAAATTTGTCCGGATCGTCGTACGAATCCTCGAGACTCATTTTGTTTACCTGCACGAAAACATACCGGCGAATGCATACATTTCTCTTATTTTATTTTATTTTTTGTTTTTTTTTTTTTTTTCATTTTTTTTTTTTTTTTTTTTTTCAACGATTTTTATACACACATCGTTAACGATGAAATTTATGGATCGAGTTAATTTACTTTCCAAATAAAGATATTTACATTTTTTGAAGTTATTTAATTTCGTTGCATTTTCTCATTGCTAAGCCGATTTCGGTAAAATTGATAATAACGACAATTCTTAGCATCTTTCGATAGGTCGTATATATACTTTGACATGAAAAATATGAGAAAAAATTACCTGTATATGAGCTTTATATATGTAGGCTGGGCTGGTGAATTGAGTCTTCTTACCAACGGCTTCGCTGAAGATAATATTTTGCTCGAAAAGAAATACGTGCCACTCTTTTCCTCTCGTTGGTACGCTCGAAATTTCTGACACTAACAAAGGCCCGTGTAGCAGAAGTTTACCTTGTGCTGTTATTTTACCCTTCAAACGAAATAAAGGAATGAATGGACGTGAAATCATTAAACTTTTTGGCATGTTATAAAAATTTGTAGTTTAAAAATATACTATAAGAATAAATGTTACGTGGAATGTTAAAAAAAAAACAAAAATTGTCAGCAAGTTACTAGATGATCTGCCATTCGAAATTAAGTCTTTATTTAACTTACATCAAAACCTTGTAACCTTCCCACATCCATCATGTCGTTAGCCGCTTTTGGAATAACTCGCATAACATGAACCGCTGCTCTAAGTCCTTCGATCTCCGATAATCTTTGAGTACGTTCGGTCAAACGTAATGCCTCGCGAAGAAGTAATTGATACTTTGTAATCCTTTGCACCGGTTTTATTAACAAATCGCAAAGTTGCAGACGATGTTTAAGTTTCTGCCTCAGTTCCTATAATATTTCGGAATGTAGTGATGTATCTCAAAAAAATAAAACTTCTCAAAGAAATAAAAACATATAAAAAGAAGACAAAGTATATTGACGAAGTATCCATTATTTTGTGAAAAAAGGTACTACAAGTAATTATAATTACCTCGAAGTAAGTGTATATATATTCGGACACGATGTACTCAGAAACGGGTTTATTTTGACAATAAACAACGTACATGTGTAATTTCCTTTCATATCTTTTAAAAAGAGGACCGAGTTCTTCCGGGCATTTTATGCAGTTCTCCAAAGCTTTCAAAAAAAAGCTGAAGACACAAAAATAATTCTGTTAACACACACACACACATATTGGCTGATGAGTCGTAATATTTTCACTTGCTGATATATGCAAGAAAAAAAGACAAGAAAAAGAGAAAGGAGAATGAATGGGTCAGTAATGTTAAATATACTCACTCTCTGTGCCATTCATAGATCGCTTCTATGTTACCGAATACCATTTTGTCTTTTCCTCCTCGAAGATCCTCAGGAAGTGGAATGTCGCTCTCTGGATCTCGCATCAGCGTCATGTATCCTTCGACAATTTGTTTAAGATCGTTGACATAATCTCTTTCCGTTTCAACCAATTCGCGAATGACAAATTGTCTTTTGGTTAGAGCCGCAGTTTCGGGATCGCATTCTTCAGTAACGAGAGATGGACTGATGGCACGAGCATAATTATTTTCGCCATCACTTGAACCTCTATCGCCTGCTGTTGTTCTTTCCGTTCGCATCAGACTATGCCTTTCTTGATTTTCGGTATGTTGTTCCTATGTTTGTGAAAATACATTTGATCGAGAAATAATTAGACAAGATGATAACAACTTACCATCCTTTCCTTTACGATCTGTTCGATTTCTGCTAAATCTGCCGTGGTGGCTCCATCAAGTATTTTGCTAGAACATTCAGATGCCTGAAAGATAAGAAAGATAAGAATATGCAATATAAAGAAATGCATCTTTAAACTAACGGAAGTAAACATATACTCACTCTTTTCCCAGGTAATTCGTCGGGTATCGCTGAACCAGGAGGACCATTTGCGGCAGCGACTAAAATCGGCTCGGTAATCGGTTTCATTGGAGGCGGTAATTCCAAGTCATCTTCTCCATCCTCAGTGCCATTTTGTTCATGAAAGACGTTACCTTCACCGTCGTCGTAAGTTGTAGATATCGTTTCAGAAGTTTCACCGTGTTCCTCCTCTTCTTCCTCTTCCTCCTCTTCCTCTCTTTCAGCCTCTTCGGATCCCGTTAAAGTTTCAAGTTCGGAACTGATTCTGATGTTTCCAGCAGAAACAGCAACGGCACGTTTTTGTTCAGCAGCTCCTGATGGTAGCTTGAAACGTTTGTCAGAGCTGCTCTTTTTCAAGGATCCAATGTTTTTACCGCTTGGCGTCACCGTTGCCACCACCGTTGTCGTTTGTTTAACCAAAGTCGTCGTAGGTGCTATTGGCGTAACAGTTCCTGGTGTAGCAGCGGAAATAGAAGAAATAGCGGTTGTCGTGGTGGTGGTTGCTGTCGTCACCGTTGTTAAAGACGTCGCCGTTAGCGGAATGCCACCACTGTTAACTGTGGCAGCAGCAGCAGCCGTTGACGCAGTCGACGACGCCGTTGAAACGACCTTATCGACCTTGCCTTGGCTGAGCTTACGCAGCGGAGGTGGTAGCCACTTTCTCCTGTGACACACCAACGAACTCTTCGTATTACCCAGCACGTTAACGAAATTTCACGACTAGACCGGAGAGTTTTACGAATGATATCGTCGTTACTTTCTTTAACAGTTACACAACGGAAGGTGTATCATTCGAGAACAACCCGACGAATTATAGGAAGAGAAATGCGACGTACTGGCAGCGAGAACGCGTTTCTCCTACCACATCATCTTGATTTTACTGCTATTAATAAACACGGGCACAGTTGTGCCTGTCGTGTCGCCAGTGAAAACAATAAGAGCGGGGATAGGCGTTAAAGAGAATCGCCACTATGCTCAACGCATTGCCGTTTGACTCGGCACTCACTATGCACATTGATCAATTGCTAATAACTAAGCGTGCGTTTTTCATTTGTAATTAGGTTAAGTACTTTCGACTCGTTATGATTTTATATGACCGTATCAGACTTACAACCTATAATTTCTATGCGTCTTATTTATGGATATATTGCCGTAAACAAATATTGCATTAGAACATATTTGCTAATATTTTATAAGATTATGCTTATTCTTAAAACGTCTATTATTTATGTATAAGATAAATGTGCACGTTAACGTGTGCCAAAGTTACAAACTAAATTTCGTAAGTTTCGGTTAAAAGTAAATTCAATTATTTGAATGAAAGAAATTTACATTATTACATTAGCCCCGATATTTCTGCAAATGTAACAATTCATTGTTAGTAAATGTATTTTTAAAGATTAGTATCTTGTGTGAAAACACAAAGAATTATAGCTTTTTAACAGAAGACCGTATATAAAAGGTCTAGATGAAATTAATCACTTGACACATTTGCACGCGATTGTATTTTTTTACGAATACAATGCTTGAAGGAATTTCGTAATAAATTAGAAACGTAGGTGAACGCGTTATAAAGCTACTCACCCGCTAAAACCGCGTCTTTTGTTTCCAGGTGAACTTGTACTAGCGGAGCCGCTACCATCGCTCCCGATGATTTCTGAAAGCAATACAAAGAGAGAGATGGTTTTAGTCATTTGCGATAACGATAGCGATAACAGTAATGAATCAGAAATCCATTGGACGTTATGACGAACTTCAACTATAATAAACGTTATATCTTATTTAACCACAATATACTTCCATTTTTTTCCGAAAAAAATCCAAATTATCGATGATCCTTTAGTTTGATTATTATCATTACCTAACTTTTTAGCAAAGTGAGTAGAAATAGCATTAATTTCGGAGGAGTTCACATCATCGCTATGTACCATCGCTAGGCTTATAAACGATTATTATCTGTAGTACCGAAACGGAGATAATAAAATGGATGAGTCGAAAGTGGTAAGTGTGTAGTCGCCTCTTATAACGAGATATACTCCTATGATATCGGGTTGACGTTGCTCTCTTATTTTTAGATGCGGCACAGGCTTGAGAGAAAGCTTGCGTGACTCTTCCGTTCTATCTGTCTCGAAGTTCTCAAGGAAAAAGTTAGTCGTCATGTCTTGGAAGCATCCTCATCGTACTTTGCCCTCACTTATTTTTCTTCGATCCAAACCCCTTCCGCCTCTTCCTTTCATTGTCTGTCCTCATCGCGTCTATAGTTTCTCTCCTAGAGTTTGACATAGAGAGAAAAAGTAACAGTACGCGTAAGTTGTTCTTGTTAGATAATGAATTGCCATAGGTCGGGTCGAATGATCGACGGCCAGTTTGACCGTGACGCTGGCCCCAGGCTGCCAAGTGGTCAAGGACATTCGTGTTCCGTGCGTCGTATTGATCGAGCGCTCGGGTCTTCTAGTACACGTACAAGTACGGATAGTTATCTGCCTCTTTCAAATGTTATCGAGCGTAACCACCTTTCTCGTTATTTCTTTTAGTCGTTTCAAAATCCATAGTTATTCAATAGTGTTGTTAGAAATGTAATTATCGAAAAACAATTTCTAAAAAAAACTTACCCGATTCTTCGCTCGACGGTGTTAAATTCGAAACTGGAGATGATGATGCAGTAGAACCAGTTACTATAGCCGCAAGTTGTTGTTGTCCGATCACAGATTGATTGAGTTGCTGCTGCTGCTGCTGAAGCAATGTTTGTTGTTGATTGGGTGGTTTTCTTGATGGTGAGGTCTTACAGGAATTGCTTGGTGGTTGTTTCAAAGCGCTCGTAGGTACAAGCCCTTCTGTTGGTGGATCTGTTTGTCCTGGAGCGAGTGGTAAACGTACCAATGTCCATTCACCGGTAGCAACGATGCCACTGACGTTTCCATTACCGCTACAATTTTCTAAGACTTCAACTTGTTGACCCTTCGTCACCGTCAGTTCTCTAGATCCTGGTGCTGCTAGATGATCCGCAACCACCCAAGTCATTTCGGTTACGCCAGTCTAAGAATGAAAATCGAAAAAATAGCAACTTCTCTTTCTCATTTTTTCCTTTAATATTTTTTCTATTCGTGATTAACTCTCCACGGGAAAAAGGAAAGAGCGGAGTGCTTTAACGTGGGAATGTAAGCAAACAAACGCATCAGGGTACCAGATTTTATGAGCGAATAGCGAGAAAGAGAGGGAGGAAGAGTGTGAGAGAGTACACGCCATACGCGGATATAAACTTGGAACCGACATCATCGAGAAATCGTCTTTGAATTTACGGACCGTTGGAGCGTCTAATGTGGTACGTTCGCTAAAATAGGTCCGATCGGTCCGTGTAATCGTTTGGATGGTGTTTACAAGAAAAGTGCTTCCTTTTTAGAGTACGAGGAGTCAATTACTCGAAACAGGAAAACTTCTTAGAGTAGACACCAATCATGGGTATGCATCCATGAAAAAGTTACTTGCAATTAATAAGGTAAATGAAGAATATAGAAACGGTTAGTTTTAATTAACAGGCTGAAATTTATGATATATATTAATTTTCACGAAGACGAACGCGTTTTATCTGCATTGTCTTCATCAAGACTCTTTTTCTCTCTTTCCCTCTTGTTATTTCTCTTTCTCTCTTTCGTATTCGCGCATTCCATGACGAAAATAGAATATTCCACGCGCCAAAATCCGTATTAGTTCGATCCCATACGGATGTGTACGAGGAATCCAAAGGAGAAAAGACCGAGTACAGATAAACATTCATACGATTGACAAAAATGCCTAAATTAAAAGGGACGAAATATGGATAATTTGTCATTTTCGTGGCCCACGATTAAATGGATACCATTCATTAGACGAAATACGAATAAATGACATAATTCGTACCGTTAGCGTATTTCTTCTCCATGAGAGAGAGTTTTCTTTATCGTTCTTTTTGCGGTCGACGAGCGATTATAAGTTGCTGCGGTTATTAGATCTAACCTAAGTCTATATTAGGAAATGTGATTCGCGCGAGCGCAACGCGACACACTCAAGGGCAGCAGTTCGTAAGAATTGGTTGCAAAAAATTGCCCATGAATTGACATATGAAAAACCGATAAAATATATAATCTAGCATCAATGATATTTTAGCGAGATTTTGTCAAGTAAAAGTGTGCGATGACGATGAAAAGCAAAGTCAACTAACGAATTTGTGGTTGTTTAAAAAAAAAAAGACAAATTATAGCATATTAGAAAGGCAGCGATAAATTCGGGAAGGTCCAATAGTGAAAACATCGATTACAGTTGGATGCGCTTAAATCGTGCGCTTACGCGCACGATCGAGATGCCACAGAGACGGGATGGCGAGTGAAAGGGCAAAGGACAAAAAGACGAAGACAAAAAATAAGAAGTAGAAGAAGAATGAATGTGGAAAGTGTGAAAAATATAAAAGGAGAGAAAAAGAGAGAGAAAGAATACCTGAGATAGAGAGGGTTGGCGACGCAAAAGTCGAGCTTGAAAAGAGCCCGGGGTGTCGATGGTGTGCTGCCTGGCGAGGGTCGCGTGAGGTGGTGTGACCGAGCTCTGTCTGAACCACGGTAAAGAGATTTTTCGGCGTGCCTTTTGGGCAATCGTTGCCGGTTTTCCGGCCGGTGACGTCATAATATCGGTGACGATATTTCCTTACGACTTACTGGAGTTCATACGTGTCGGTTTGTACACGAAATTCGGTGAAAGGTTTGTAAAGAGAAAAATAGACCAACGAAGGAGGGATAGATCGGCGAAAAGCCGACAGCCATTTTCGAGTGAATTTTGTTCTCTACTCTTTTATTTCTTCTTTGCTTTTTGATACACGAAATACGTTTTTCTACCGTTCGAGAGAAAATTCATGCGCCGAGAAGAGAAGAGAAGAGACGAGACGAGACGAGACGAGACGAGACGAGACGAGAAAAGACGTGACGTGACGTGACAAGAGACGTGAAACAAGAGAAAAAACAGAGAGAACAGTATATGTAAGGTAGGACAGGACGGGACGGGACGCGACAATCCAAACGAATCCGTCCGGGCCGACAGTCGCGCCCGTACTAATCGCACCCTTTCTAGAATTGAGTACCAACGCCGTGAGCGCCTCTTTGAATGCCACGGTAGGTGGAATGGGCTTATCGAGAAGAAGAAGGGAGGGATGCTCGATAACGCCTTTCATCGATGTTTTCTCCTCGAGGAAATTCTCAGTGCGCAGTCACCATCTAACCGGGGCAGCTGATTTTAATGTCTCGTCCTCGACTGCAGGATATCGTACGATTAAGTAAATTAAATCCTACTGCATTGCGTACAAGAAGACCTTTGAAAAACAATTTTAGGGAGGAAAATACTCGAAAATTTTTATTTTTATTTTTTCCTTCGACACTTTTACTATTCCTCGATTAGAATATACCTTCATTCTTTGAAATATATCTCTTTTTGTTATATCATATATCAAGAAACAACACAGATACACCGTTTTGCGCTATGCGAAGCAAGCTATTACACACGATCGTTTTACGCGGCGGTATTATATATATATATCTGCTTATCGCAGATGTAAGAGAAAAACAAACAAATATATGCTAAAATTATCTATTTCTGTTTTCTACGAGATAGAATAAGATAATTACCTTGTCCGAATCCGTTGTATTCGTCGAACCAAATGAAGCCAATGAATTCCTGTCCAAATTTTCTACACTATCGTTCAAGGATGCACATTCCTCCAGGTCTCTACTCGATCGTTGGCTCGAACTCTTCTTGGCAGGACTCTTCGGCATACTCAAGCTGAAGTACGTTTCTTGAATTACTTCACGCAATCTCTTGACCCACAATTGCTTCGCCTCCATCGAATTTGCTCTTAAAACCACACGGGTGTCGCCGGTAGGTGCTCTTCCAGTCCATACTGCAAACTTACATTCGTCTCCTTCAATGTGCTCAGTGACGCCCAATTCGGAAGTCATCAAGCGACTTTTGTAAATGTATTTTACCTGATAAATCATAAAAAACAATAATATAAAAACTTATGTTACAAATTATCTACACTAACTTTTCAAAACGTACAAACCTTTCCAGCTGAATCTTTTACTTCTTTACTAAATAATAAGTATAATTCGAAAAGAAATATATGACGATCTCTGCCTTTTCTTATCAGCTGCTTTGGATCCCATACCGTAAATGAATCTTGTAATACTACATCTCCAAGAGTATCTATCCTGACATCACAACCCTCCAATAGGCTTAAATGTAAGGCATCGTTTGCTTTTTTAGGCACATTCAACATCACTTCCAATCCATCTTTAATTTCACCTTGTCCCTCCTGACAGCAAGCCTGTGATCATAAATATTAATATTATAAAACATTTTTATACGTTTATACGAGAAAATTAGTCAAATTTATTTTTAATTATATTTTTTACATACTTGAAGATCCTTAAGCAAAAGCTGATACTTTGTGATCCTTTGCACTGGTTTAATGAGGTATGCGGCTATTGGATGTTCAACTTTTTGTTTCCTTTGTAATTCTTCAAACCACGTACCACCATGCGTAACTAGTAATTGATTACTTTCTGGCTTATTTTTACAGTAAGTCACGTACATATCAAATTTTGGAGCCTGCAATAAACATTATTATATAGATAATTACGAAAATGATCTATTAGGTTATTTTTGAACTTAATTAAACTAAATGTTACTTACCCAAGTAACAAAACAATGCCCAACGTCTTCGGGCATGGTTTCGTATTTTTCCAATTCACGAAGGAATATATTACAATGAAATTGATGTATTTCTTCCATATTGCTAAAAATGATGGATTCTCGACCTTGCAATCCTGTTGGTACGTTTCCTTTTCCATTACGCGTTTCCTCTAAGAAACAACGAATACAAGTTTCTAAATCTTTAACGTATGTACGTTCGGTTTGCAATAATTCGGCCATAATGAACCTGAATGATAATAAGAAAAATATTTTAACATAAATGAACACAAGTACTTTTTAATTTAAATTTTGTAAACATTAATCAGAAGCATACTCTTTTCGCCTAGCTGATCGCCGTTTCTCTTCATTCAATTCTTTTAAATCTTTTCCTTTAATTTTCTCCTCCAATAAAGGATCGGAATTACGGTCTATAGCTAAATCTTTATGGCCGTCGTCTGATTGTATACCCAAATCATCTTCAATTTGCGTCTTATAGTAATTCATTCGCATGCTAAAATCTTTATAACGCTGATCTACCTCCGCCACAGACTGTTTAATAACAGCAGCATGAGCATGTCCTTTTTCAACTAAATTGTCTGCTAACTGAATCAGCAATTTTACTCTTTCCCTGGTTTCCTGAACATAAACAATAAGTGTACAATTGCATGTTATGTTATTATTACTATCTTTTACAATGAAACGATGTAAAAACTATAAAGTTATACACGTTCTCTTTTTATTTCTTTTTTAAAAATATTTTACCTTTGCTGCACCTTTAAATTCGTTATGTTCTTGTAACAATTGCTCGTTTTCGATACGATTTTTTCCCACGTTCGTGTGTGTTGCAAGATACAATTCACCAGTTTCCCTTATCCATTCGATTGCTTGTTTTGCACTACGCTCAAAAAGAACGTATTGATGACACTGGTCTAAGCGTTTTTTTCGTTGAGTCCAATATTCCAGTACTTTATTTTCTTTACTTAACAATTCTTCTAAGATATCTATAAACATGAAAATAAAACAATAAAAATATGTTAGAAAAAAATTGAAATTACAATTAGAACTTATTTTAATTTGAGATACTAACTTTTAACTTTGTTCTCGGACCCAACGCTATTAGCTTGATAATTATAAAATTGTAGACTGCGATTAGTGTATTTTAGGAATGTCTCGGCCGTTCTTCGCACCAAGGTGCATGCTTTTAAAAACGCTTCTTTTTGTTCCTGATGTTTAGACACAAGATTAGGTACTTGGCCGCCTTTCTCTCCACCAAAACACCAATCTTCGTCCCTTTTATATTCACGTTCTAAACTATCCAGTACCGATCGAACTTGTTCCGCTGTTTTATAAAAATTAATACTCGCGGTTACTAATTTATGCCTTTCTTCTGCACAAGTTACCAACTGTTGCCACCTTTTTGTGACATCTTCAGCTACTTCTCGAATACTTTTGGGGTCATAATGATTCGCGCTTACTAATGCATCAGCTCTATGTTTCACCTACGAAAACACGATAAATGACATAATGAAAATTTACGAATAATGTACTAACAAAGAATTAATATAAAATGATAAAGCACACATTGTAATTACCTGTACAGCAGAAGTATGCGTTTTTTCTATAGCTACTTGAAATTGCTCATGTTCTAACCGTAGTTGTTCAGCATCTTGTAAATTTTCTGGAACCCTTAAGGAAGCTAAAAGCATAGCTTCTCCGTTTCTAATCCAATTAGCTACATGCGTGGCATCTGTTTGCAATTGCACCAATTGTGCGGCTTGTTCCAATCGAACTCTCCGCATTTCCGCAAGATCTTCTGCATCCATTTCTCTTTCATTTAAAAATTCAAGAAGCACTTGAACTCTTGCTGTAGCACTATGCTGACCATCTGCCATAATACAAACTCCGGCTTGTTCTAGAACCTAAGATCATAATAGCAAAATAGTATTTGATAAGAAAAGATCTTTAATAAAATGTACAAATCAATAAAATTTGGTTTACCTGTGCAAGTTCTTGGCCTTGTTGTAACACTTGAAACGTAGTATTTTGCATATGAGCTACACCGTCATTATGTACACGTAACAGCTGTTCGGGTGAACCTTCACGAGGAGTACCTTGTAAGTCTTGTGCCCACATTTCAAGTTGTCCACTGGCTTCTAACGCATCTCTCTCGAAAACACGCAATCGCAAACACAACTCTAACCTTAATTTTCTTGTTGCCCATAATTCTTCTAATTCTTGCCGTAAACCAGCCAATCTATCAAGAGCACTTTCTACAGCAGTTACCTGAAATATTTCCATATTTTCGTAAGATGAAATGAAATACGTAGTGTGATTTGAAAAATATTTTGATATTTTAAAATAAATTAATAAATTAATACATACAGAGCCCGTAGAATCGGGTGCATCTGTAGATTCTCGTAGTTCTTGAAGTAATGCTTCACCTTGTGCAATGGTCGAGGCACAAGCTTCAAGACACGACGCTCTGTGTTGTGCACACTGATCAAGTAGTCTTTCTGCTGTTTCCAAATTCTCTGCAACTTCCTCTTGCTGCAATTCTTGCCGCAACTCGTCCACCCAACCACTTAGCTACAATAAGTGCAGAAAATAATTACATTAATTATTTGATAAATACCATTAAATATAAACAAACAAATATAGCACTAATATTTACCTCTTTTTCATGAGTATAAAATACTACAGCCAGATCTAATCTGCGACGCCGTTGTTCGACTCTCGCTGCAAATCTACTAACATGAGATTCCAATTCTTGTGCTACAGCATATATTTCATCGGCAGCACATTCTCCTGTATGAGCTAATTCCTCTGCCGCAGTAAGCAACTTTGTTGCATTCGTATAAGTATTCTGAAAAGACGTGAATATAAATAATTACACGATATAAGCTCTGTTACAGATTAACAAAGATTTTATCAGTGTGAAATAGTATATTACCTGAGCAACGTTCTCAAAATGTTCATGACTTTTTTGATATACTCTTGCTTTTTGAAGATTTCGTCCAACACCTGTATTTTTTCGAATAAAAACTTCTCCGTGATTAGTTAGCCAATCGAGAACTTGTTTTACATCTTCTTGAAATAATCTGTAAATAAAACAAAAAAATTAATGGAACTATTTTAACACTGCATAAGAAAATAAATTTTCCTTTGGCAAGGAAGAAAGAAATTAAATTTATAAATACCTCAAAGCAAGACGTTGATGTAATTTAACTTTGCGTGCATGCCAACGAGCTTCCAATGTTCTATGATGACCTAAAATTTGATGAATAACTGCTAACACATGGGATGCACCTTCACTATAATCTGCGGCTGGATTTCCACTCATGCCACCATGACTTTCTGCATTATGTCCGTCTTGGCTCTATGCATAAAAATGGCATGCAAATGTCGTATATAAGGCTTCCAATTATTTAATTTAAAATTGAATAATATATTAATATGTACGCCATATAATAACTACACCTCTGCTACTACATAAGCAAATACTTGCGATTACAAAATAATTTAAAATAAAGATAGAAGATTAATGTATTAAGATAAAAAGTATTTATCTTTTATATTTTGGCATAAAAATTAATTATAGGAGCAAATAAAATGACAAGTAAGTAATATATAAATAAATATTAATACATATTCGGTTAATTCCTAAATTATGGTTCAAACTTTAAAGTTGACAGTTAAAGTATTTGCTTACATTACAGACATGCTTACAATCGTAATGAAGTTATATAGTCTCTTTATCAATTGCATGCACAAGCAATTAAAAACAACTAATTATAGAAAACGAAGAAAAGTCTGTATGAGTTATGCACGAATAAGTGGACGAAATGTACAAGTTTTTAATACAATAAAGAGATTAAGATTAACCAAAATATATATTTTCCCAAACACTAAGTGACATACATGTTTGCGGATGGTGTGGTCTATTCCCTGTGGTTGGTTACAGACTTGCACAAGATGATCCAGTTGATAAAGAAGCTTCTTACTGGTACTATGCACCTAAACAACAGTATTTTACGAATTCATTCCAAAATTAGGCGCCTTTCACCGATTAAACGAAATTCAATTTTGTTTCATGATAAAAGCTTCCATCCTAACAAGTCCATAGTAACAAGTGTTTAGTCCAACCTATGTTAATTATTGCATAATTAATGTTGCTTTTAACCGCACCCAAATACCAAGCAAGGATATTCACCGACTAGAAGTAATGAAAAAAAATTTTTTCGTACATAATTAGTGTAAAATGTATCCAAACGATGGACTGTACTTCTGCTATGACATACTTGCAGCATAGAGCCCAGTCCACTCAAAAGAGCCTGATATGCATTGTAAACCTGTCGAATATTAGATTTGTATACAAAATTTGTATCTTATGATTTTATTGTTTACTCATTATTTTATAATGAGATGATTAATAAGATACTATCTTTTTCATTCTCAATAATGTTACGAATTTACTACTGATTATACACTCTCTGAAATGCCATTTAATTTTCCTACTTTTTATTTCTATTTTATATTTAGTTATATCTCCTAATATGCCTCTAATAATTGTATTAATTTGCGGAAGGAAACTTTTTTTATTAAAGAAAAAATACAATTTAAAACACCATTAGATATTATAAACTACATATTTTACCTCTGTATATGCTTGACACATTGCTTCGTAAAGAGTTTGATGCTGTCTTAAATGAGATTCAAGAACAGGAATTTCATTAGGCAGATTGCTGGCATCGCAAGCTTGACTCCAACCAGCAACACTATCTACGTATTGTTCTGCTTTGTGATGGAATACTACACTTAGGCCAAGAACAGCAGTACGTTCATCGAGACCAGCAGCAAATTCCTTCCATGCTCTGTCCAATCGACTCGCAACAGCTCGTACGTGACCCGCTGCGTAATGTTGTGTCTCTAATAATCTAGCAGCCATTGTAAGAGTTTTATTAATATTCACATAAACATTCATTGAACTCATGGTAAAATGTTTATGTTCCTCTTGAAAGTTCTTAGCAAGTTGATAAGAACGTCCAATCTCCACATAATTAGCAAGAAATCCTTCTCTATTATGACAAATCCAGTCAAACATTTTTTCACAATCTTGTTCAAATAAGCGCAACTGAAAGCATTGATCTAATTTCTTTTTTTTAATATGCCACAATTGCAAGAGATGCCGTTGCGATGCATGAACAGATTCTAAATGCTGTATAACTAATGTCGCTAATGCCTGACCATCTGAATCTGTTCCACCTACTGCGCCACTTTCGATACTTCCTCCCTCTCCACCTGACGTCGACATGCCTAAAGAAAGCAAATATTCGTTAATTAATATAATCATTACGTGTAGTATATTAGAGTGTGAAATGTATATTACTGTCGAATTTTTGAAGTAAACGTTGAGCAACAACTTCTATTTCTTCAACAGGAATTTTCAAAATTTTCTTTTTCATTTCATTATGAAGGTCAATACCATGTTTAGCACCTCCAACGTCATCAGCAAAATCATTACGACTAAGATCTTCTTGTAAATCATCCAACCTATCTAAAAGATCAGCAGCTTGCCAGGTAAAATCTTCTACAGCTAGTCTTGTTTCGATCCACTGACTATGATCATACTCTAACGAGCCATCCAAATCAGATGTCAGTTGAGAGGGATCTATAACTTTTGTGAGAGCTTCTAAACTAATTGTATTGATCTGAAATTATTAGAAAATATTAATCTGAAGAATTTCTTACATCATAAAAATACAATTATTCATGATACGATAATACGCTAATGCCGGTTTATTTATAATTTTAATTTAGTATAAACAGCACAAGTGTATAAAATAAGTGCATGTAGAAATTTACACAAAATTAGACATTTACTTTGTACATATCTTAACACATTAAGCGCCGACGACATATAAGACATCTAAATCTTGAACGCCGGCAACGTATCAGCCACAAAAGCCCTTACGCTGATCTTATTTGCATGTTTTTGAACAACGAGTAGCTAAAGAAAATATTTGATTGCTTCCAAACCATCGTATACGTATTGTTTTTGGAGTTAAAAAGTGTAAATCAACGAGTAAGACACTCATACAAGCAAACAAATTCCGCAACATTTCGGGGCCGACGTTCAAACGATGGACTCAGAAACCCGCGTTGACGCGAGGCTGGGCGCTTAATGTGTTAAAGCGTTTTTTTTGTGCACTTAAAATGTTTATAACGATGCATGCAGTATTACTTTCTCTACATGAATGCATCTAATGCTCAAAATAATAATAGACATAATATCAAAGACAAAATTCCAAGAATTTAATGAAAATTTCTATCTGTCTCTCTTACCTCAAAATTATATTTTTTCTGTTTAGCTAATGATGTCCTTTGCTTCTGCCAAAAATTCTCTGGCTTTATGATGAGTGCAACATATACCGATCGATGAAAGTATTCATGTAATACCTTAAATAATAATTAAAAAAAAGAAATTAGTTTGTTAAATATTTTTACATTTAATACGCATGTGTACATACAAAAACGAATATTTAATTACATCAAGTATATTAGCGTCTAAAAAAAATATATATATATATATATATCGTAAAATTTATTCATCAAATAAGTAGGAAATGTTTACTTAAAGAGCATTGCTACTTTAATGCTATATATCTTTTCGCAATCATACCATTTAACTATCTAGAAAATTTATGAGATTAAATAAAAATTTAAATGTCATAATAAAACCTTTAAAATTGTTTTCACAGAATCCCAAGTAGCACCACGCATATCCACTATCACAGTAAATCTTAGATCTCTGGTTTCATCGTCAGGAACGGCTAAAAGGTATTGCAATAAACGACGATAGTCTTCTGGTTTAGCACGTTCTCTTCTTGGGGTAGTCGGAAAAACAATAACTGGACCTCCTCTACGGTCTCGTCCACCTGGTAGTATAGCCAAACGTTCTTGAAGTAGGGGTAAAACTTCTGCTGCTCTTATGCCATCCATTGTGTTAAGTATATATATAGTTTGCTTATGATCTATACAAAAATATACTCACATTAAATGTGCTATAGAATATTTTGTAAGTTAACATTATAAAATAATCATATAATAATGTATGATTTAACGACAACAAATAATAACAAATAACGTGTCTTAAAATGATAATGTTCATTATCCAAAATTTAAATAAACTTGTAATTTCCAAAGTTTGTGTATTAATACAATACACTAATATACTAACTATAAATGAAAATAATCATAAGTTTTACATTAGAGATAGAAATTGAATTGTTAAAATCTAAAACGATCAATCACTTTTTAATTAAAATAAATATTCATGATAAATATAAACTAAAGAAACATTTGGAAACGTAAAATCGTAGAAAAGCTATATGTAAAGAAGGATCATACACGTGTCTTACATAGTGCTTTTAAAAAAGCAAATACAACAATAAACAATGCTAATGTAAGGATGAATAAACCTATAGTTGAAGAAAAAGGAACTGTCAAAAGGATATAAATTAATTACATTTAAATTCACTTATAAGATAATTGTCTTAGTTTGTCATACGCGAATTCTACAAGGCAGCGGCCATATCGCGTTAGACTTGATACGCATACAATTTTATGTGTTGACCCGCGCGCGCGCGTTCCAATGTGTGTATGTGTATATATGTATATGAATGTGGATATGTATATGTATATGTATTTAATGTGTCTGAGTCTCTCTCTCTTTCTCTCTTTTAATGACCGTTGCAGCGATTTGCAATGGTACCGTTGTTCATCAAGCGCGTCATTGGTCATCACGAAGGTTAGATGTCAGAACGAAATAAGACTTACTAATAAACATACCTATCTAATTTTCAGTCAGAGATTCGCAGGATTAAACTTTCTTTCCTTCTTCGGTGAAGTACCTGCATTCCATCGAAGAAAGATCTTATGGCTTCTGCACATATTTATGGTGAATCATCAACTCTCATTCGGAATCATGTTTTACTAACTGCATTGATAATGCATTAACGTTAAATCGTGCCATCTTTAATTTATTTCATCAACCTCAATTTTTAAATCCTACTTTTATTTCATACGATAATATCCACGCGATTTCCAAATTACACTAAGTTCTCTCCTCTGTATTGACGCCTCGCAGGCGGCAGCACGATCTTCTAATTTTTATACAATACAAAATCCATGAATAACGAAGATTAATTTAGGTAACCAACTGTGATATAACACATACGCGCCCCTATTCTTCCACTGTATTTCGGTCACGGCTTAACCCAGTAATGACACTCGTGTAAGACGTCTTTAATGTCACGATATTGAAAATTTGTGACCTTGAAAAGGTCCACCATATTCCTTGTAATATACATATTATACCACATATTTAGTGTCCGCATGCGCGTACGTTTACACCACTACTTTATTGTTTACGTTCATATACACATTGTTAAAATGTATATAAAAGAGAAAGCAATAAAAAGTATAGTGACAATAAAGAAGTTTCTTTTGTTATTCCTTATTAGTAAAAAAAAATAATAAGCTAAAAATGGATTGGTACTTCTCTTTCTGAATCATAACCAATAACGAACTCCATCATTCCTTATTCAACCAATTGTATCATCGCAAAGATGTGCAGCTAGTCGAGTGCAATACTTGCATCGAATGAATTTTGACCAATGGCATGATAAGCATTTCGATTATCGACCGGTAGATTGTTTAACGGTTTTCCTTTTTTATCCATTTAAGTATTAATTTTTTTATAAAAAGTGTGTATCTCAAAAAACTTTACTATCTAAGCTTTTTTATAGTAATGAAAATCTATAATAAAAATGATGTATTGAAGGAATAAAGAAATGTGTATTGTTGCTCAAAAGCACGAAGTATATGTTCGGTGCACCGTCCTCTTCGAAATTCACTTTCATACTGGAACCTCATAAATACAATTTAAGATTATAACGTTCTGATTTTAGCATTTTTTTCATTTTTATGCAATTATTTTAACGCTGCTAAAAAGTGATGGCTTCGAAGGTAAAATTTTCTTGTAATATAAGTAAAGTACATTAGTGCATGAAAATAATTGTTAATTAATCGATGCTAGTGTCTATTGTTGTATAAAAGCTCAGAATATATGATCTATGTACCGTCCCCTTCGAAATCCACCGTTGAACTGAGTCATTGTCCTCTATGAAATTTCTTTTATTAAATATCGTTTATATGACTTTCCGAAGGAACAAATTTGATTTACTGCGCATATTACTTTTGTTATACATATATGTAGCCTCCGGCAAGTCATATAAACATCATTTAACAAAAGAACTTTCATAGAGGACAACGTGCCAATGTGAAGGGGAATTTCGAGGAAGAAGGTACATAGATCATAGTCTCCGAGCTTTTAGACAACAATAGACACTTCTATCGATTAATTAACAATTATTTTAATATTCTAATGTACTCTACTTACATAATAGGAACATTTTACCCTCGAAGTCATCACTACGCAGGAGCGTTAAAATTATTACATAAAAATTAAGATATTTGTCGTACAGCGTGCGAAACATAAATTTTTTCGACATGCATTGCATTTTATGAATGCAGGCTTCTCACACGTACACGATTATTTCAAATCGTTTGATTTAATAACAAACTTTTGAGATTTCCTTCTATTGGAGCGCCTTAAATGACTATTTTTAAAAATATATGTATAAATGCATTTCTGAAGCCACGCACATTTTATACACTAAAAATGAAATATAATTATTTAAAATTCTATTACAATATAACTATACTATATATACTATCAAAGAATACTGTATCCTAGAGTTAAGTACCTACTATCGGCCACTGGTGGTCCCAGTAATAACTAAGATGAATCTAGTTAGATAAAAAAGGAGACTTGTGAGCTTTTATGTACTTCTATATTCTTTGATTTTACCGGACTTTTTGTTCGTATCGTAAATCGAATGCGACCTCTATATTGAATGATTATTCATTGAAATAACCATTCCGTCTGGTTGCACATTCGTCCGAAAAAAGAGGAGTGAATAGGAATTGATGGAAATAATTTCTAACGCGCCAAATCGATAGTACAATTTCTAAGATATTGCAAGTAAGAGTATTTCGAAATAAACACCAACTTCGCTATTAAAAAGTGAAGAAAATGTTGCGCGTTGGTATCAGAGCTATTCGTAAGAATTTAAACGTCAGAAATTTAGCGAATGCGCCTGCACAAGAACATGCAATATCCGCGACCTTTAAGATTCAAGATCCTAAAGATTTTGACGAACGCGTGAAAAATTCTAAAGTGCCTGTGATCGTCGATTTTTTCGCGACGTAAGTGACAATAAATAATGCTATTACCTATTTTCTAAATCTCTCTTTTATAATAAAATATATTCTTTGTAAGATGTCAACTAATTGGACTATGAAAAACATTCGTCTTTCTGTAGGTGGTGTAACCCATGCCGCATGTTAACTCCTCGTTTAGAATCGGTGATCGCAGAAAAACAGGGGAAAGTACTTTTGGCTAAGGTTGACATCGATGAAAACAGTGATCTTGCTCTTGATTATGAAGTTAGTCATCTGTTTCTTTGTTCTACGAACAATTAGCATCTTTCCTTACTTCATTTCTTCTAACAAAGTCATTTAATACTTCGTTTAGGTTGGCAGTGTTCCTGTCTTAATTGCGATGAAGGATGGAAAAGTTCTGGAAAGAATTGTCGGTTTACAAGATACAGATAAACTTAGACAATTTGTTAACAAATACGCTGATTAATACACAATATAATGTAGTGTTATATATAGTACAATCCTGTTATTGCTTTTTATAGCCATGGCACATGTTACATATGTCTAGAAAAACAGTACAAACATACCTTTCAACTTAAGTATCTGAGACATATTGTAGAATTTAATAATTGAAAGAAGGGAAGGACAAATTTTCATTATTTAATATATTCATAACATTTCAAATGATTTTTCTATGCCTTTTTATTGATCATCTTTAGTCCAAGTGGAAAATGAGCGCGCATTGAATTAATTTTCTTAAAAAAAAATTGTTTCTTCTATAAATAATAGACAGAGAATATGTTATATATCTTCAAACAACTTTAAAGTTGTATTAACAATTATATTGTGTATTTGACTTCGTAAAAATTATATGTAAAAAAAAATGAAAAGATATTGAATAATTAAATAAATCTTTCTCTTGTAATATATAAATTGACTTTACCATAAAATCACTTTGTTTTCTTATACAATCGTGGCTTACTTAAATTCATCTACGCGCTATTGTAGAATGGAATATATTTAAAATTTATTAATATGATATTACGTACAATTTGATATTTTTGTATACGTTCAAGGATATAGATATAACAGGAACATTTAGAGAGTTATAAATTTTAATATATAAACAATCATCAATAATAATTATTATAAATTAAAATTTAAAATACTAATGCTCTTGATCTCACTAGTTATTTAAACCTATATTTTACATAATTCATTTGCCACTTTAAAATATATATTTACCATAATTATTATTCAATTATATTCTAATGTAAGTAATTATTCTGATCTTATGAAAATCTTTAATTATATATAAATAATTAAAATTCTTATAACTGAATACTCGCTAATATTCATTATGTTTCAGTTGGTAATGCTTGCAATAGTAATCTAGCTCTCTTATATGGTACAGATTCTATAGTCTCAGTTTTCTTTTTTATATTTTCTTCCGCAATTCGTACAACATCCATACCTTTTTTCAAAAGTTGCTCTCTGGCCATACCTTTGCAACCTTCAAAATATTCTAACACTGTTGGAAATACTTCATCGGGGATAAGAGCATCGTCAAGTAAATTGTCCATTAACCATATCTGCCTTATTTTTTCAAATTTCCATTCGCTTCTTGAATATTTCCACTAAAAATGAAAAATAATCTGCAAATAAGATCCAATACTTAGCTGGTCCATGCATTATTTGGAATGCTTTTCTACCTTCTTAACGTAAGTGAGTGCTCTTTGAGTTGCTTCTACTTTAGTAGCTTGTCGCTTTTCTGCTTCTCTTTGTTCAGCCTTTTCCCTTTTTATTCTTCGTTTTGAAGGTGTTTTTGTATTCTTTGCACTTTCTTCCGAAACATTAGTATTCAAATCTTCTATACTTTTATTACTCTCAATGAGTGCAGTACTAAAATACAAATACAAATTAAAATACAAATTATGGTCACTAAATCTTACTACGAATAATATTATAATCTATTAGGAGATTCACAATTGAAATATTATTTCTTTTACCTTCCACGTTTTTGACGTTTAGACATTTTGTCTTCGGTCGGTAATTCAATATCGCTTGAATTCTTTTGCAATATGTCAGTACCTCCAAGTTCTTCTATCGTTCTCTTGGTTGCTTTGTGATTAAGACCATTTTTAGAAATTTTGCATTTACGTGGCCTTTGTTGTGCTCTCTCCAGAATAGCTTCATTAGATTCTCCTGTTTCATCATCGCTACTCTTGGCTATATTTGTATCAGAATTTGCTTGAGATTTGTTATCTGTTGATGAATAAATCTATTAATTATCCATGTTATATGATGTTGAATATATAGAAAACTACTTATTTTGACTTGTATTATTAAAAGTACTAATATCTTTATCATCAATATAAAATTATTTACAATTAAAGTAATTGTTTTACGATAAACGAACCATTCCTTACAATCGAAGACGATGCGTACAAAAATCAAGTACAAAAATCGTATTTATTTTTACTTTCACTTTTTCTTTTCCAAATAGTACGTATAATAAAATCACTTATCACTTCTAACCATTTTTTTTGTAAATAAAATGTTAATATGTTTCTTTCTCTACATTTTTTTATAATAATGTTATTCGAAGGCACAAAAGACTGATTTTTTTCAAATCTATCGTATTATTACATTAAATAATATAAATACACGATGTCACATTTAGGAATTCATCAAGAATACCGTTTTACCTTCTAATATTTCGTTTCGAATTTTCGTACGCTTTCGCGTTTTGGATTTTCTAACCCCAAAATTGGATGTATTCTCAAAACCCATAATGCGTTGATAAAAAAATTATATTACATATGAATAAGTTCAGCAGGGGCTAGAAAACAGTTAATACGAATCGGCGATTAGTTATAAGTAAAAATTAAAGAGTATTTACGATATAATGTATTAATGATCTAGGTAAAATTGAGATATGTTACCGGAGCATGTGCCAACGACTGTCCGAATTCACAGCTCGTGTTAGCGCGTGCGCTTAAACCTGTACAATCTATATAATTAGAAAAAACTATCAGCAGTATCTTTTATAATAATTCCTGTGTGTGAATAAAATATTTTCTTATTACTATCGTATGTATTATATATATATATATATATATATGTTTATTTTATAAATAACTTTTGAAGACGTGTTAAATTAAAAAAAAAAAGAATGTTAAGCGTATGTACATACAATTTGTAACATTTACGAAACTTACATCAGTGTCTTGTAAATTATATTAAAATAATTAACATTAATTAATAGTCGATCAAAAAAATATTCAGTTATCATCAAAATGTTAACGCAATTAGTAAAAGTAAGCCTCCTGAATCAATGCAAAAGGAGTTTTTTAGCAAGGTAAAATATGGTGTGTTTATTTTTATTAATATTAGGTTATTTTTAATTTATGGGTTATGGCATTATATATTCAAAGCAATAAATATTGTCTTTTAATATTCTATTTTAAGTAGAATGAACTTAAATGGAGTAGTATAAACATTATTGATTAATTTATTAATTCTTTCTATTTTGGTTAAGTATTTTTCCTTTTTTGCATAATGTTAAAATATTTGGATTTCAGTCAAACTAGTCTTTGCAACGTACTTCTTCAAAGCGATAGAAAAGCATCGTCCGAAAATAAAACTGTAGACGAAGAAAATTTAGATGAACCTATCAAGTATTCGACGTCGAAAGCAGCAACTTGGCTTGCTGCTGAGACACGTAATCCTAATATAAACAGACATCCATATGAAAGTAATATAATATTAATTAGTCTATCTATTTTTATGATTTATTTTTTTATTTTAAGAGAAGAGAATGATGTAGATTTAATTTTGGAAAGACCGTTATCAGAAATCGTACCAGGAATTGGTAACAATATGTCCAATACACCTGCAGTGTATCCCAAAAGAACCTAATTTTAAATACTATAACGTTAATAGTAATAGTAGTTAATTATGTAGTATTTTCTTTTTCTCTTCTAAAGTTAATTAATAAATAGATAATTATTGAACTTATATAAATAAATTTATTCACATAAATTTACAAAAATCTCCCAATTAAGAAACATACAAAATAGTAAAAATTTCTTATTACGTATTGCTATTCATATTGATTTTTGTCCCTTTTATAATAATCTACTACAATGGGTAAATTAATTGTCCCCATATTATACTGTTTAATATTTCGCTCCATTTAATAGATGGTTGATAAGCTATAGTATCTATAACACAGTTTGTCCATGTTTGACCCCACGAAGATGTGACCATTGTCATCCATAAAGTTATCGTCATATCGCTCTCTGACTGTTGCGAATGTAATTTGATATAAATGCTACCTAAAATTGTAGATATTTATTAAATTTTTGAAACTATATGTATATTATTATACAATATAAACGTAAATTTCGTTAAATACTTACTACGTGTACAGTAAGAATTAAATAACCACTTAATATATGCATAGACAGGCATAACTTGTATATAAAGTCTTAATTTGGCTAAAAGTCCGCTAAAACCAGTCAGCAAAAGTCTAAGCTGAATTATACAAATATGAAGATATTAATAATTGTTAGTCACATAATAATGCTAATAAAAATGATCTATTTACCGTAGTAAAAACTGTGTAATACACCCATGTTGTTGGTATAAGAAATAGAAGAATAGTGAATAATAAAGTCCCAACAAATAGTTGATCCGGCTTATATTGGCAAGAATCTACTCTTTCTCGTAAAGGATTTTTCTTTTTTCCCAAAAACAGTCTAAATAGAGATGTAAGTGCATTTAATTGAATATTAAAGAGCCTGAAATGTTCATTGTAATAATTATCTTATTTATAAAATTTATAACTTGGAACATGAATATATTAATACTTTCATACCTTGCTGCATAAACATAAATGCAATATGTATGGAAACTAATAAGCGCTAAAAGATCGGATGCTATCGATATTTGAAAAGTAACGCCGAGCCTTCCAAATAATAATAATACTTCAAATGCAAAATCCATTACAGGTGTCATAAATATTAGAAATGTCCACCATAGATGTATATGATACAGGAAAAATTTTCCAAGCATATTATTAAATGCATAATTTAATTTTAAGCCAGCTGGAGCACCCATTAACCACTGAATCAAATTTTTCAACGATTCCACTACTTTCTGTAAGTTTAATACAATACATGTATGCATGTATGCGTAGATATATAATTTATAAAAAAAGGCAAAGCAAAAAAACGAGTATATATGTACCAATAACACTTGCCTCTGCATTCTTTAACAATACTTGAGATGGTGATATATCGTTAAAGTAACATAACGACAGTTTTAATACTATTACGCCCAATAAAATATCTATAATTGTTGCAATGATATAATTGCCCGTTTTCAAGGTAATTCTTTTCTTTTGTATTATATTTATCAAAATCCATTTAACGTTTTCCAACCATCCATTTAAATGTATTCCCAATGATGAATATTTTAATACTGGTAGTAATTTATTAGTCATGTTTAGAAAAAAAAGAATCGGAATCAAACAGAAAAATGTATAATAGTGAATGACAGTTTCTTTTATGGAATCTAATCTAGATTTTACTTTGATGCTATGTTTAACTTCCTCCGTTTGTAATATTCTCATTAATTCATAAAAGTGATCGTTTGAAGTTGTTTTAGAAGCAAATAGTTCAGTCTCTTGCAAAGCTAATAAATCATAAATTATTATGACCATAGAATTAGACGATAGATTAATTTTCCTGTTATTACTAATTATATTTTCTATGCAGTAATAGTAATTGGTATTACACGATGAGTTAACTGCAACAAGATAAATATTCATCCAATCTATGCACTTTTTATCTAGATTTTCGGTAATATAATTTGTATTATAGTAATAACCAATAAGGTTAACAGATTTGTTTATTTCAATCACATCTTTTTCGCAAATAGCAATAATATAATATTTTTTTATATCCCTATGCTTGTCATATACAATTTTACCAAACACATAGCCAGGTTTTTCGGCGTTAAAAGTTTGTGGAATAAAAATTAACAACTTCATTGTATTTGAAGTATTAACATCGTATTACGTACAAGACACAATACGATATTTATATAATATTATTATTCGAGTATATTATTTCAGCTCATTTGTGAGTAACTTTACAATCTCAGCGTTTATTTTACAACGAAAATATTTCTACAACAAATATTTCTGAAAAAATTAAAAGCAATACGAAGAAATTGAATGCAACTTTATTAAACTTGCATCATTTTGTTATCTATTGTCACACGTACCGCGTAATTTAAAAGCATTACTTGTAAAAGGAATATTTTGTCAAGTGGCAACGACAGCATCGCATATGCACTTTGTGGCGCTCTAGTCGTGCACCATCTCTTCTGTTATGTTATATTAGGTTATGCGTTATGGTTGTCAAGTATATAGAGAGAAAAGTCTGTAAGGTAAAGAGCTGTTTAAAAAGTGAAATCGCATCGAAATTATTAATCCAATCGAACGTTTATTCATTCTCTTTTTATGTAATTAAAATAAAGATCAATGAGAATCTCTTTTTCATTATATATTTTTTAAATGATCAAGTTGTTAATAATATTTCTGGACAAAATAAATCATTTAGGTTGCCATCTATAGGGATATGGGCCTTCATTGTAAAACAATTTATATAGCGATGTTTACCTTTCTTATCTAGTTTTTTACTTCTAGCTTTGGGAAATTCAAATATTTTATTATATTCGTTATTTTCAGAGGAAAGTAGTTAAATTCTGAATCAAATGGAATCTGAATTGAGTGTAGAAAGCTTGCTTGAAAATCTAAGCAAGTTACTAGACCAACTTCGAATGGAAACAGCATTCTTAAAAAGTAACGTCAATTTATTGTATTATTTATTAAGTAAGTCTAATTGTAATTAATTTTTTCAATTGTATTATATTTAGGTAGCAAAAATTTAAAGGAGGTCGTCATGTTTATTCGAGACTCTATTGTTGATATCTCTAATAAAATCTGTATCTTAAAAAAATATTTAGACAGATTGAAAGAAAAAAATAGCTCTTTTCAGGTAAATGAGAATATATATATAAGTTCATATATTCAAGTTATGTATAGATATATTAGACAGATAATAATATTTATTCATATGCAATTATATAGGAGACTTTATCTTTGTATCAACATTTGAATGAAAAAATATTAGATATGTATAATAATATTCCTCATGAAATGATAATCGCATATACAAATAATAATAAGGAAGAGTCAATGCAATCCGTTTCCAACGTTTCTTCTCATACGTTTACTATTGACAACGATACTGAGAAAACTGTGAACTTTGTTAATACGCCAAATATTGAAGCATCTACTATTAATGATTGTAAAAAGGCACTTTTTAACGAACCAGAATATCCAAAAATATCTTTACTTAAAGAGGAAGAATTTGATAAACTACCAAAATATATGATTGGAAGGCAATCCTTGCAAATGATTAATGGCTTAATTAATTCTATAAATCAAGTATTAAAAGCTAAATATTCTTTGTTGTTTGCTGGAAAGGCAGTCGCTAAAAAAAAAGGGGAACTTGATTTATATTTATACTATAAAAATCAAGATATTATATGCAAAAACAGTGGTGAGTAGTTTCTGACCATAAATAAATGCACACATATTATTTTTGAATAGATTTACATAGACTAACTAATGATTTACGTTTTCCAAATTTAAATATTTAATTATATTTTAATTTCAGAATGTAAATACTTTTTCACAGCGGAAGATTACGAGAAATATGTAAGAACTAAATTAGATAGGTTGGCATTAAAGCTGATGATGGCATTACGCCACTGTAAACGAATACGCGAATTCAGATTACAAAAAGAATTGTATTATATCGTCTTGCCTTAATACTGTTATTCTCACTGTTATACTAATGTATCGTCATTCTCATCTCATTTAAATAGAATAGTTAATCTGCAATTATGATTAAATGGATGGAATCATCATTGAAGACAGTTTTGATGTGAAAGCTGATGAAACATTTTTCAAAACGACGAAGACCATATCCCGCGTTCGTTCAAGAATCGATATTCATTGAAAGGGGTGAGCAGGGAATGGAGAAAGCTCGAGCGCGTGCGCTTCTAATATAATTTTGCTCGGCATCGTCGGCTACAGTTCCCTGTCGCTTTCTTTCACGCTTTTTCGGAGCTACGAGAGATATTGCGTAAATACGGAAAATCTCGCGAAAAAAAGGATAAAATGTCGAGTAGCAAGTGTGTGAAACAACCGCGTAAAGCGTATGCGAAAGAACAACACGAAATGAGCCATTCGGAAAAGCTAAGATTGATCGATGACGAGTTAAATTCATTTTACAAGTAATTGTTTTTACTTATACATTTGTGTTTCTAATTTCGTGATCTAGAACGTTGATATATTTCAATAAACGTGATAGTAAAAATCTGAAGCCAAGTTTGTATCTTTCACTCTCCTGTATCTATGTTTACAGATATTGTCAGCAAGCTGGTTTTACCGAGGAAGAAATGGATATTATTTGTCAACCTCTGGTAGCGGCAATGCGCCGGTCATGGTTGCAACTCGTTTTTCGTGGTACTCTGATACTCGTTGTGCTTGGTACCTTGGCCTGTCTTGCAGCCCAACTTGATTTCGTTGGAACTCACTTTACTGCTCTTAGCCGTTTATTATTAATCAAAGTATTACCAATCTGGAACTGGCAACCTCTTTATTATGAAAATTGCATGATCAATAATCCCTTCTATAACGATTACACGATCACTGAAGAAGATTGCGTGGTAGGTAGAATACCGTGACTATGATTATTGTTTCAAGTAAATTATTGATATATTTTTACGTACACCTATGCGTTCGAAGACTTGCGAAGCCCTAGAAACGATCGATCGTTTATCGGACGTAAGATATCTTAGCCTCGTTGACAATTATCTCAGCCGGGATGCCCCAGCGATTATCACCGATGCGATGGACACATGGGCGGTCATGAATACGGATTACTTCTGGTTTGATAATATAACTCATGTAAGTAGACAAATAAAAGGTAATCGATTGCTTTGATCATAAAATCATTTTCATTAGATAATAAATTTTCGGATGATTCGATTAGCTTTACTTGGAGAACGAGAGATTGATGGAAACGGTCCCATGTGCTCTAACGTCCAACTTAAGAATGGGTTCGTCCGATTTAGCAGCTTTTTTGCGTCGAGTACACTCACCAGAAGTTGCCAAGTGGTTCGTGCATTGGCAAAATTGTGACATCAATGCTGTCAAAGTATTGAGAAAATATTATCAAAGACCTTACTTCCTCTCGAGCACGGTCTCGCCTGCACACTTCAATTGGGTCCTTATGTCATCGGACTACAACAGTCCTAGTTATAAAAAAGTCGAGCTAGATTCTGGGTTGATAGCTTTGGCACAGCTTCGTGGTGCAACTCAATTGCGATTAACGCCGATAAATCCATGCAATAGTTCTTGCCCCGAACTCGTTGCCGATTTGCATCAGGGAGAGATGCGTGAGTATCTCGGATCCAAGTTTTTGCATTACGAGTAACTACGAATATCACGTATCTTTTAAAATCTAATCCCTTCTCTTGTCTCTAATCGCACAGTGGTATTTACCAATATGATGTGGACTTTGGAGTATGCACCAATGCGTGGATTGGATAACATCGCTATCCTTACGGAAACCGTTTGGGAAGAAGATACATAAATCGTGAAAAATACTTACAAATAATACATCGATCGGGATAATAAAATACTTTTGTTGCGATTTCTTCTCCATTCTTAATATATCGATATAAACGTATTAAATAGGGCATGTCCATCGATCGTATAGTATCCGTCGTTCGTTTTCATTAATATGTATTTCAGTGCAGAAAAAAAAGAAGAAATATAATAAAATATCGTCTATGTCTGATTCGCGCCGAGAGAAAAGACCAAAATATCCTTTTCTTCGTTTTTCAAGGATCCTATCGTAAATATCAAATAAAAGAGAAGAAATAAGATATAAGAGAAAAGAAATTTCTGGAGGAATAGCACACAAGTAACAACAAACAAGATTTGTCTTTTATTAATTAATTGTTTATAATAACATTATGTGTGTTTTTGTTGAATTTTTTCGCTTATGTCAGTTTTTTCCTTTTTCGTTATTTCACGTGGACTAACAAGAGAGAAAAAAAAGAAGAAGAAGAAGAAGAAGACCAAAAAATTAATGATTATGCACTGATTCACATAGAAAGAAGAAAGCGCAAGGTGGTTATTCAATGAGAAACGTAGCTTTGACCGACGACTTGGCATGCGCTTAATCTCGACGCGATATTCGTTATATTCGTAATATATATTATCGGTTTGCACTATACCCGCTCGTACAACAACAATAACAACAATAACATCTTTGATTTTATTCCGACGAGAAAGAAGGAGGACAATCGGTTAGTTGTCAAAATACCAATGCAACGCGGTCTTCCCTCCCTCTCCCCCTCGAATCTCGATTCGATCGATTGTTTTGTCACTCTCATAACTTTGAAATCACGCACGTATATATGTCTTCTTCTTTCCTTCATTGAAATGTTCTCGCGTCAGCACAAACGTTCCACGTTTTATTTAATCGCAACGATTCAACGTCACTCTCGTGTTATACAAGTACTTTAAGCGAGGACCATTACACGTACGCTAGCAACGTATAAATATACAATAAGGGATATCGAATTTTTTTTAGTCTAAACGGCAATATTGGAAAGAGAGGAAAAAGACCAGATATATTGATTTTCCTTTGGAGGACAAGAAAGAAGAAGAAGAAGAAGAAAAAAAAAAAGAAAAAGGAAAAGAAAGTATCTTATTTGTCTACATTTGCTGACTTCTTTTTCACAATTTTCTTTTCATTATTATTCTTTTTCAAAGAGAACAAGATTCGAGCCTTCCAATTAACCCTCTATAATCGAAGTCATACACTAGAACGAAATTCAACCTTACTTCGTATCAGAAGAATAAGGTTTCTTGCTAAATATATTTTATTATTATGATATACTTTTGTTTTTATTATAAACAGAAATAAAATGATATTATAGAGGGTTAAAATAGCGTACCATTCGAAACTTTGCAATAGGATATCGATCGAAGAGAGAAGTGGAAAGAAAATGATGACGGATAGGAGACAGGAGGAAATCTTTAGTAAGATCTACACAACATGTTGAAATTTCGAGCAAAAATGTGCACACGATCGAAAATAATCGCGGCAATGTTCAAAAGTTCCTTTGACAATGAGTCCCATCTCGGGTATCCTATGTCCCCATCTAACGATGATGTCAAATAACACGTTTATGCAACACGCGTGAATTGGTTTTTTTCGAGATAACGATCAACTAGGAGAACGTCCTATAGTAGCACATTTTGCATGTTCAGTCCGCGCACTTTGTCGCATTTTAAGTTCATTCGGATTTACATCTTTCCAAGTTTTACTTTATAAACCAAAATTTGAACAAATGAATATTTCCCTGTTTATGCGTTAGACGATTTATTCATTTTTTTTTATCCGAAAGTTCTCAATATTTTCTTGCAATGTTATTCAAGATTTGTACAAATTGATCCGAAAATTGATATAGCAAATGCTCAATCAAAATCATTTCACAGCGATCATAACGAATCATAAATCGTGAAAATCTGAACGAACTTATGCGATTCAATATGCATGCATATACGTATACATAGATGCAATAACGTTAACAATAAAATTGATGATAGATCGATACTTTTTGCTTCCTTCATCTTGGAATATTGTATTCGCGCCAGAATTTATTGTTTCTCTATCTTTACTATCATTATCGCTAGGAAATTTGGTCTGATCGCGAAGACAAAAAACGTAGATCCTTTTCGCGCGCTATCGTACGTATAACGAGTAATGACCATTTTAATCCTAAATACGTCGCCGCTTCTTAATTAAACTAACTTCTAACATCTAACAGTATTGAATAGAGAATACAATATCGTTCGATCGGCTGATTTTTGTACCGTGATATATGCATTATTTATTTCATTTTTTCTGTATCCAGTCGATAACAATAATTATTTTATTTATATATTATGTCTCTAATAATACTAATGATAATATAATCGTAAGAATAAAAATCATCTCTATTTCTTGAAATATAAATAAAAGAAAAAGTGAGTTTTGCAACTAAAGTCGTTGATAGATAAGATTTATAAAACGAAAGACAGACGGATAATTTTCTATAATCGCTAGAAATTGGATACAGAGAATAAAAGGAATATGCTGTCGATCGATAGTAAATTAATTGTTCTTTTTTCGGTTCTCACGAAATTCTTATTGAAAAATTACTCCTCGAATTTTGTCGAGCATGAATTTGTTGTCTACTCCGATGATCTAAAGGTTTCTCTAATTGCGACGTGTTACTGCCATTCGAAAAGTAGCGCTACCGATATTCCAAATGAAATGTACAAACGGTTAGAACTTTATGTGGAAATGTTCTGGCGCAATATTATAATCACGATTCATTAAGTACCCACGGTTTCGAAATTTCCGTATCAGTCTTTTTTTTAACATTTCCTGAATCAAGATCATAACTTATGTTAGTACGCTCTCACTATTATGTCTGATAAATCGTGTTAATAGGAAGTTAATGGCAAAGTATGAAAATCTTGTTTGATACGCGATCATACATATTTTTCTACGTATATATGTACGACGCGTGCACGTATATAAGGGATAAAGGAAAAACAATAGAAAAACTTGTAAAAATAATAGAAACGATGACGAGAGGGATACATAAACCGATCTTATATATCTTATTGTTAGCCGTTCATTCATTGGGAGTTCGATGCTTATTGCATAAAGATTTCGTTAATTCGCTCGGTCGACGAATGATTATTGTTGATTCAGGCAGGCTTTTAAACGTTCGTTTATCCTTATCACGAACGCGAAGGATCGATCTATCGACCGAGCAGAAAATATTTTTCAATCCGAAAGATCGATATGCAAAGTGTACGTTTGTTTGGGTGTTGTCCTATGTGGCTGGCCTACGACTAACGCGTTGCATCTAAGATGATAGTCGATACACTTTGTAAATTTGTGCTCTCACTTTTTGCTTCGTTTCGATATGTTGCGCACCGATCTTCTTGCCCTTTTGTGACAAATGAAAAAGAAAAGAATTGCAAGCAAATGAAGGATACAAGAAGAAGACGCGTATAACAAGACAGATATCATCGCTTTCCTTTCTTTCAATGAATACTGGATAACGCGCGTTTATAATTTTTCAAATTTCGAATTAACGTGGAAATGTACAAGTATATACTTTGCACTCGTGTAAACGCATGACATAACAAACATGAATAATCTAGTCTTCATCGACTGACGATAATCGAATGAGAGAAAATGAGTAAGTATGAACAAGGACATTTTGTATAAAATACAATGCAAGTAGCGACGTAACAACACTTTGCAATAGTTAAATACAGTATGTATACGTATGTATATAAGAGGTGCGGTATTTAAAACCTTATACTCGAATATCTTTCTCTCTTTTTTTTAATCGTTATCGAACAAAATCATTTGGTCCGTTTCTAAAAATGTTGAACATTTAAAAGGAGATTTTTTCTAAACGTCCTATCTATTCGTCATTTTGCAAACATTCATTTTTTCCAAGAATTTACATTTATTATATCGTATACTACTTGTTCTTGTGACTTGTCAATCCGACAAGTTGAGATCAATCAATTATAAATAACGGGGGAAAGAAAGAAAAATGAAAGAAAAATGAAAGAATTTGGCGATCTTTCGAATTCCTTCGCAGAACACATCTTTGGATTCTCGATTGGACGGTTTCGAAGTTGTATCGATGTTGTCGAAGAACGTCTTCAATACTTTTCCGCGAATATGCAAAGATAATATCATATTTGTTCATTTACATAGGTGGAGATTAGGTAAGGTAAACGGAGACGGTAGGAACGAATGTGAATCAAAGTATTACGTTGAAAATATAATCCGAATAAAGGTGACGTTTGGAAAAATACGGCTCCTTCGTTATTTTCCATTCCTTTTGTTCGAAACATTAGTTCGTATCATCTGTTTAATCGACTAAGATATCGGAGTATATATCGTCTTAAATGCCACGTTCTGTATAATATGTATATTTTATGTATTGTATGCATACCCTACGATCTTTTTCTTTTTTTTTCTTTTTCTTTTTCTTTTTCTTTTTCTTTTTAATTTGTTTTATCAATCGTATATATCATTTGATAACGTCATTCTCAATGCACGTATAAATAAAGAGGAAATCAGGTTGATTCGATTGCGCGACGAAGATTCGTCGTGACCTGATTATTATTTGCTTGCTCTCGCGCATCTGTACATTTACCGTTTGCTCTATCTCTGCGAATACGTTCTCTTCCTTTAATCGATCATAAAGCAGATGGGACGAGTCTTCTACGTACATTACAATGACGGAATGGACACGCGCGGGTGTCGAACCAAACTTTAGAGGTCTATACCTCCTCCTAGGAAATAGAATAAGGATCCAAAAATAGCCAAAGAAGCTAGAAATCTGCTATGGGTAGGACCATGGATAGGACCATGGATGGGTAGGATCGAGTCGTGCGCTATGTAGACAATTCTTGAAGGAAACGAACTTGTCATCCTTTATTCGTTCGGCTAATTAAATCGACTTGGAAAGTCAAATAACGCGTTAACGCGCATCAGTTCGCAACCTCAACGGAATAACTAGCTGCAATATATTATAATGATTTATAAGGATATGGTCTCATCTTTTGTTTTCAGGGTGAGATATTTAAAGGCACACCCCCACATTTCATTGTCCATCCTATGTAGATAAAATTTATCGTACTCTACGCATTATATACCTACATGATAAAAGTTTTTAAGTTGTTCCATTACGTTCGCACATACATGAATCCTGTGTGCGCTCGTCCAAGTATTTATTTTTACTAACATTTAATCAACTATATATTCTGCGAATAATCTGATTCTGTTAATGCATTTTTTTTTCTTTTTTTTTTCTTTTTCCTTTTCTTATTTCCATCGTAACACGAGAACGATTAATTTGCGTTTGAAATGAAAGACACGTTCGATTCTCAACGAGGACTTGCATTTTGTTAATCATTACAAGGAAAAGCCAACGTAGTTATTTAACGAAAAATATTTCGAAAGGAGGTGGTGAATCGTCCACACCGTTTGGAAGGTACGGTAACAGGTATGAAAAACATGCAACACGCGTTGGTGATGTACTTTGGTCTGGACGCGATAACATTTTTTATAATCGGCCAACATTTATATATATTCGTTCGCGAATATATTACAATATTGAAGGAAATATACTTTTTTTCTCTAAATTGAATCTGCATTGCTCACGTACATTGGAACATCAAGATAATACTCTCGTCGATTGTATTAGCACCTGCGAACAAGTTCCAGCTTTCGCGTAGAAGAATTAGAAGAGGATATATTAAGACTTTTTGGAGGAACCTTACTAAATATACGTCTTCCGCTTTGCAAATTCCTTTTCTCACACATCTTTTCGAAACGTAAATATATTCGGAATAACATTGTTTAGTATTTCTCTGTTTTTTCTTTTTCTTTTTTTCGTTTTTTCTTTTTTATTATTTTCTTCTTAAGGATATCTCGCGTGGTTTACACGTCAACGTTGCGAGAAATCTTTTACTTTCTTACCGTTATCATTTATTTTTGTTTATATCAGGATGATCTTAAAAAAATTCTATCGAAGTTAATATCGGCAACAAAGCCGGCTTTTCGCCCCTCTACCTCTCGTACTCATTTTCCTTGCCTTCAACGTGAAATGATAGACGAGCTAGATATTCTTCCTGAAAGGTTTTACGATCGATTACCTGGCTACGTTTATATGCTTCCAGCGATTCTAGCAGCGATTGCGTAGCGATAATGGCACCAGCACCAGCACCAACAGCAGCAGCAGCGATGGCATCCTTGCCTTTCTTTCTTATATATGTATGTATTTATGTATGTATGTATGTATGTATGTATGCATGCATGTATAGATGTATACACACATAGATATATTCCTTTGATATATTCATTTTATCCTGCGCTCTAACGTCATAATAACGGTCATAATAACGTTGCATTCGAACGTTCTGGTCGCGGAGCTCGTAATCGATATGTCGCCGGGATCCGCACCAAAGTATCGTAAGCGGAGAGGAAGAAAAAGAAAAGATGTATTTGAAATATCGGCGGGAGGACAAAGGCAATAGCTCACTTGCCCAAGCCAAACTTCATAAAGATAAGTTCTTTTCCCTTGGAAAGAATATCTCCGCCTGCACTAGCACCCGCCATTTCCGTAAACTTTTGCATCAGATTCGGGCCCGTACTCTGCTGCTGTTGCGGCTGTTGCTGTTGTTGTTGGCCTTGCGTCACGTTCGCCGGGGTTTTGCTTTGTGGAGTTGGAAGGACAGTAGGTATTCCTCTCATCGGTTTGTTACTGGGCTGCGAACTCTGCATCGACGATCCTTGATTTTGTTGACCATACCCTTGATTTTGTTGTTGTTGCACTTGTGGCTGCTGCTGTTGCTGTTGCGGTTGTTGTTGATATTGTTGTCCACCTTGCTGACCAAAACCTTGTCCTTGTTGCGGATATCCTTGATTTGGTTGCTGATAATTCTGGTTCTGTTGGTTTGCCTGTTGTTGATACGGTTGATTTTGCTGCTGCTGCTGCTGAGATTGATAGTCGAGCTGCTGTTGCTGCATGTGTTGTCCCGGAACTTGCATGCCACCTGGCACATTACTACCAGCGGCTCGATTGCCCATGCCTCCCCTCCCCTTCCCCTGAAAACGAAACGTAGTACGTGACACCATCTTCACCAACTTTTTAAGTACACATACTCGCAGCAAGTTTCAAATGTTTTTTCACGCTCCCTAGAATTGAACGCAAACGTCCGTTTCTTTGGATCGATCGATTGTAATTATGCATCGATATGTTCATGAAAAATGACGCTGAGAGCGTTTCAATCATTTTGATACTCACTGTACCCATGTATCTATGCATTAGATACTTCGACGCGTTTGTCTTCTCATTTCTTTCTTCCTCTCTTTTTAATACCAATACCTACGAATTCCTTGATACGCGTTCTTCTTTTTCCTAGTTAAATATAGGTAATTAAACCTAAAAGAAACGGAGATTCAAGGAAGAAGGAGGACAAGTGCTATGTGAATGTGAATGCTATACATGACGATGTTAATAATGTCGAATTTGCCAGTTCGTCGGATTTTTTAGCTGCCGACGATCGTGATGTATTCTGTTGAATACGTGTAAGCGTATGTTTATTATGTATCATCATGCTATTAGTGCACATTCAATTAAGCGTAATAGCGACGCACACAAGCCGTCATGAACCAAATAAAAAGGTACTTTTTCTTAATGTTCAAATTTAGTATCCCTGTAGATATCCTTTAAAAATTTCAAATAATCGTTCGAATGATTATGCAAACAACGATGAATCGTGATGTTAGTTGAAAAAAACAAATTCGATCGTGGGATATTATTTGAAAACAATAGATGGACTTGTTGACATCGATAGATGCGCAATTATCGAGGGTTCCTTGTTAATTCATGCCAAATTAAAAGAGACTTCAACTTCATGCAATATTGCATAAACAATTATTTATGTACTAGCCTCTTTGCAATATCAAAAGTTAGATTGAATCAAAATCGTTAAAGGATCTTGGACAAATATCATCATTTAATTTGTAGCATAAATTTCGAGTCAATCTTATTATCTCTTTCAATGATAAAATAAAATATACGCACATATACACGCACACACAATTACACATTTAGATTGCAATATGAAATGTAAAGATTTTCAAAAATTTGTTGATATCTTTTTACAAGGAACTCCCCACAGTCGTGCTTAAAAATGAGTTAGCGAAATCAGTAAGTCCGATTATTGTAGAAAAAATTATACAAGGTGGTTACGAACTATTTTCGAGCTGACCACCCTGCATGTTTTATTCGTCGAGGAGAAATGGCATAAAGCAGAGAGAGAGAGATAGATAGATAGATAGAGAGAGAGAGAGAGAGAGAGAGAGAGAGAGAGAGAGAGACGGAAAGTTTCGGAAGAGGAGGGCACTCACCTGTTGTTGAAGGTGGGGTGGAAGGGGCCCTTGCTGATGGGCACCCATGACACCACCGCCGGAAGGCAAGTGACTGGGCCCATGCTGATTAGACGTAGTTACAGTCGTATAACTATGGTGATTCGCTTGTTGGTACGCTAGATGCGGTGGATTGTTTTGTTGTAGTTGATGTTGTTGGTTGTTCATTAGTGGTTGTTGTTGTTGTTGTTGTTGTCTAGAGTCTAAGTGACAGACAGGGACAGACACAGGCACAATGCAGGCATCTAGCAACAGAGAAGAGAACAGAACCGTGTTGTCATTTATGGCTCATTTACTTTTTTCTATTGGTCTTTCTTGCTATTTTGCTTTTTCCCTTTGCTTTTCTTTTTCTTGTTCTTTTTATACGAGTTCAGAAATGATAATCGCGTTAACAAAATTTCCAATTCTATGAATTTATATGAACAAATGATCAAAAGAGAAAATATTTGATCGAACGTCAATCTTTCCAAATGTTCTCTTTAAGTTAACGTTTGATTTCAATATGAACATGAAAAAATAGCTATAGCACTGGATTATTATGATAGGATTAACAACATTTAGCAATAAATAAAATCAATGGAATTAATGTGAAACGAACTTTGTGACATGAACGACGTGCGACTGCGAATAACATCGCAAACGTGATAAAAATGTATATATATATATATGCATACGTATATAATATATATATATATATATATATATATATATATATAGGAAGATAATTATTAAATGGCCAGCATGACAACACGACACGAACGACAATCATGTGACACGACGACCATCGACCAGTTCAGGCACACAAAGAGACAGACCATGTCGGTATATAGAGTATAAACGCATTATTTTATAGTACATGATCGTGTTGTATAGAATCCGTTTACAAGTAAATAAAGTGTATACATAATACGTCCGTATAAAATAGATAGAGAGAATAGGACAGATATGTAGAGAGAAGTACGGAGCAAAAAACTCTCGTAGAGCAGGAAGAAAAAAAACAATATATATATTTATATATGTGTGTGTGTACAGTATGCTTAAGTAGAGAGAACACTGAAAGCAGCTTAGTGTTTTATTGCGCATATATATTGCCGTGTGTATGAGACAGCCTATGTTTTCAAGACAATTAATTGATATAGAAACTCAATGATCCAATTTACGAGTGAAAGATTGAGTCAATTTCTCCTCCCATAAGCTAGTACACTCATCGAATTTGCAATCTAATTTCTTGGCGACAGAGTGCAATAGTGCGATTAAACGGTATAACAAAAATCCGAGATTTTCCAAAAGAACGATGCCATTACAATTCTCGCGGGTTAATAAAGATATTTTTAGATCTTAATAATAATAATAATAATAATAATAATAATAATAATAACGCTCGATCGGTCGACGAGATTAGTGTGACCCTTCTGCTCGTCGTCTCGCACATCTAGTTTCGTGTCTTGTGCTGTGCTTGCCGTTTTTTATTCCGATTCATAAGAAAAGAAATGCTTTTACATAAGATCTATAAAGCTTTTCCCGATCAAATAAATAATAGAAAAAGAAAAGAATCATTCGATAATAAAAGTAGATCTCGTTTATATGTGGAGGTGTTCTAGATAGCACATCGGAGATAAGGTTGTAGAATTGGGCGAAAGGAATCAGTCGTGAGACTTTCGTGTCGCGGCATATTGCGTTACAAAGAGTAGAATGAACGTAATCAAAAGTAAATTCGTTAGATGAAATTTTACCTTTACTACGACGGTGGCCAGTTGGTGGAGGTTCTCTCGGTGGAGGAGGTGGTCCCCTTGCACCGGGTCCTTGACTCTGTCCCGGTGGCCTTCTACCTCCTTGAGTCGGTTGACCCTGGTTAGAGGCTTCCATGAGGAAATTACTTGGCACTAGACCGCGAACTCCGTTCAGTTCGCCCATGTAAAATCCATCAGAGTCCATTTCACCGTAAACACAAATTTCGTTACCGGCATGGAACGGTAACTCGACTTGCTGCAAAAGTTTCAACGAAAACGAGTTATTGAATAACATTTTCATTAATAATCGCACTCATTTGATTTAATTACCGCATCCGGATTAGGCGAAAGTTCCTGTGGATTATAATCGTACATCGCTATCATTTTTTTCATTGGCATACTCGCATAAATATCTCCCCATCTTTCATTAGATGCGGGACCTCGTCTATTAGGTTGTCCTTGACCACCCTGATTTTGATCTTTCAATTCTTCGACCATATTATGTGGCACGTATCCTCTTCTGCCGCGACATTCGCCCCAATAAAAACCATCGGCATCCTTTTCACCGTACACCTAAACGAAGACAGCTAGTATCATAAATACGAACGACAAAGAAAAATGAATTTTCTTAAGTTGAAACATATGTGATCGAGAACCTTGATAGTGTCTCCCTCGGAGAATTGTAATTCTTCTTCGAGGGCGTTAGGATTTGGCGACATAGTGGTCGGATCGTAATTGAACAATGCGATAAATCGGCGCACTCTTTTATTCATTTGTTGAACCCCGCTTGCTGGATGAACGTTGCCACCTTGACCTTGATTTACTCTAGCGCCATAGATCGGCCCTCTCATCCTTTGATTACCTGAAAGATCAAATCATTATTATTATTATTCTTTATTTATGGGACATACATATATCATTTACAGATACCTGTTTGATCATAATAGGCCTCCTGAGGTCTAGCAGGCCCTCCCATTCTAACCGATCTATAGTTTCCAGGTGGTCCTTGAGGGCCTTGAGGACCGTAACGATGATGATGAGGCGACATTCCTCGACCTCTTCGAGATGGATCATCCTCTTCGCTATAGTTGGCTTCGCTAGCAGAATCCTTGGTGATTTCTGGAACAGCTAAAGATAATTAGCCAAGGAAACCACCTTTAATTGTGGTATAAAAAGGAAAGATTAAAACAGACGAAAAGGTAACTGGGAGAGAAAGTGAGTGAGTGAGAGAGAGAGAGAGAAAGAGAGAGAGAGAGAGACACACAGAGTTATCGGGGGACGAGTTATCATCGCAAGGAAGACAAAATTCCTCACCCATTTGAGAGATGCTCTGTCCTGGAAATATTTCCTTGTCGGAGAGGTTTTCATCTGTTTCAATGATTACTTGACCATGCGCATCGACTTTGGTACCTTGTCTTCTCATGTGCGATGGAACAGGTGCCGTGGGATATCGCTGAGCGGTAGTCATACGATGACGGTTCGGATCATCTTGTTGCAAGACGCTCGAAGATTGTTGCTGTTGACCTTGATCGAGCATGTGTTGCGTTCCGTGCTGTAAATGAGTACTCGTACCACCTCGAAGAACGCTGCAAGGAATCGCAGTGGCACAACTGTCTCCCGATTGACTCTCCCTGCTCTTCGTACGAACTGTTATGTGTTTCGGATTGAGACCCATAAGTTTGTGTATGTCGACTAAAGCGTGATCGCCGGTAGGACTGTCAACGTCGGTAACTTTTTTTCCATCGGCATATACCGCGTAACCGGTGACGGCCGAACCGTTTAGGGCAACAGGCTGCCAGGTCACTAGCAAAGTGCCGTCCTGCGGTCCAGCCTCCACCTGTGATTGCATCATACTGATATCAATTACTAACATACTATCGATAAAAGAATATGACTAATCAAAGTCCGCTATTAACCTGGATATCGACCGGAGGATCCGGCAACCCTTTCGGCAATGTCTTAAAGTGGACATGACAGGCCCAATTGTTTACCGCTTGAGCATTTTGATCCTCGAAGTGCGTTGCTCTTAAATTTTTCGCTTTTACCGTCACCCTGTAGATCGTCGAGGGTGCCAAACCAGTGATCGTGTGTCTATAAACCCCTGGCTTGACGGTTCTAACTTCGACGTTATTCACACAAACTACGTGTTGGTGGTTGCTATTGCTCGGCAACCACGATATCACGGCGCTGGTTGCTGTCACGTTCGATGCTTTTACGGCAGTTGGACCCAAAGCAATATCTTTGCCGATTACCATTGTACAAGCTGCATCCCTCGATGTTCTTCTCGAATGCGTCACCGATCGCACGCTTATTCTGTGGGGCTAAATTAATCAAAGAAAGGAACAAAATAATGATTAACGACCATCGTTCTATATTATCGCGTATTGCTAAAGGGATTTTTTACAAACCCTAGTAGAATCAACTCCTTCGACCAACGCTCTCGTTCTTTCGGACGCTTTAACGGTAACCTTCAATACACCATCCACGTAGACGTGATAGGATTCTAGTTGATGAGGATTTTCAGGAGCGGTCCACCCAATCAAGACGCTCTTGTTCAGTTGTCGTTCGAGAGTAAGGTGCTGCGGCGCCGGAACTAGGTCCGAAAACAGGTAGACTTCTTCAGGAGGAAAAAGACAAGACGAGCCTAGCTGTAGCTAGAAACCTTTCCACTATCTATCTCTCTAAACGAGCCTAAATCCAGCAAATACTCAACGTCTGTGCAATATTCAGATACGACAGCACCAACATAACAAATCACTTCGCGCGTGCCATGTGTCTCAATCGTTATATCTCGAGTATTCTTGTGAAAGCAAAGTATACTTTGTGCACAGAGATATGCACACGATGCATAGACAATAATGTACAGATACTAACAAGAATTTCATATATATGTACGTCAAACTCAGAAATATAGACATTTGTCAAGCTTACATGTATCGATCTATCGAATGGTGATCTAAAAACCAAAGGAAAACTGAACTTTAAGGAAATCATCCAAGTGTGCCGAGTAAAAAAGAAACATAATCACAAATTCAATTGTGCTCGAATGATTATTTTGTCTCTAAATAAATATATATATATATATATATATATATATATATATATATATATATATATATGTACTTATTCAAACGTATACTTTCTACCGCTGTAAAATGTACAATGAAAATATCTATATGCATCGAGAGTAGTGTGCCAATCGTGTTACACTCAAAGAAAATCTACTTTACATCGAAATGCGCAATGCTACAGCTCTACCTCGTAATAATTTGATACAAGCAAAATATTCTGTACACAACTTATCCGATAGAAAATAATATATGGATGTATATATCGACACATTATGTTATGACGTTTACAAACCTGGTGGTTCTTGTTCCTCTTCGTCCGCAATATTGTCTAATTCAGCGTAAACGGATAGTTCGGCTTGTCGATTTCGATTTCCTTCTTCTAAAGCAGCTAATTCTAGATCGATGTCCTGCAGGTAACACTAAAATAAAAATGATTCGTTGAGCGAGATCTGTCGATCATTCGCGCTCGAACGCGTATACGCGCATTAGCATTGCTCACTTGTGGAATATTCGTTGAGGCGGAATCATCGACGTCCCTGAGCCCGAGGACAGCTTGATGAAAAGCCAACAAATCGTCGCCAATGATCTTTTGTACAAAGTTAGCGGGTACGAGACCACGTCTTCCATCAAGAGTTTCAGCGTCGAGGAAACCGTCGTCGTCCGGTTGGCCCCAAACAAGAAGATAATCTCCACCTTGCACGGGTAACTCTGCTTCTGGATTTTCATTAGGGGAATGCTGAAAGGGCTCGTACGTGAAGCGAGCTGTATAAACGTAACATCTGCCCTTGCCAGGTATGTCCAACATGTCGACTTGACCCTCAGGTACTATGTTTTCATTGGTCAATCTTTCTAAAGGATTAGTAAGTATACTAGTAGGGATTTTTGGCATTTGTCGTGGGCCAAGAAAATGATGACCCGTTGTGCCAGTCGCTGTTGGCGAACTAGCTCGCAAACTTTGTTGTATTTGTTGAATAATCGCTTGTTGTTGCAATTGATTCGCTTGCGATTGGGCAGAGAGTTGTTGCATCGCTTGTAAGGGATCTCCTATCGCTTGTAACAAGTTTCCCGATGTAGTAACTAAAATAAATCGTATATAAAATCACATGATTTCAATAGGGAATAGGAAAGAGTCAATGATCGGCGATGATTAGAAAAGATTACCAACCCGAGCTGACGCCCGGGATGTTGTAAGCATTGGTCCCGACGGTTGAATAAGTCGAGCCGCTTGTAGCATAGCTGCTTGGAGCGCTCGAATAAGGAAGAACGGTTTGAGGAACGCTCGTAAGCGGCCCTAACGTCGAATGGAAGGATGCCGTTGAATACGGGGTCATCGTAGACAAAGTTGTTTGCGTAATATTCGAAGGCGGAACTGAATAGTTGAGGTGAGACAGTTGAGGATTGAAAGAAGTCGCTCCTGAACTGTAAGTCCCATTGGGATGCGTCGCCATCGATAGATTAGGATAAGTCGTAGACTGTCGACAATCGCGTCAAAATGTTGTTTTTTTTGTTACAAATTTCACTTTCACATTTGATTTTCTCAACGATTAATATGTTACCTGTTGAGAAGCATGCTGACTGCCGTTTAATTGATAACTTTGTGCAGTCTGAGTCGGTTGCGTATAATGAGGTATCACACTTTGATTCGACGATGTCAGGTACGAAGACGAGCTCGGGTGTTGTTGCTGTTGAAGCGGTTGCTGATAAGTTTGCGTATGCGGGTAACTCTCTTGATACTGATTACTAGTAAAGTGTGTGTGCGCTTGTTGCTTTTGTTGGGTGGGCAAGGTTCCTTGAGAATGAGAACTCGACAAATCCGCTTGTTGTTGCTGCTGTTGGTATTGTTGGAGCTTTTGTTGAAAAGCAGGCTGCGACTGACTCGTCGAGAGAGACGGTGCTGGCGGTATTGGTTCGCTATAGTGATACGGAGGCCCGTTTGGCGTCAACGGTGGACAACCAGGCATCATCGGCGTCAATGGCATGGGTGATCCTGCGTACTAAATTATGCGAATAGAATGTGAATTATGAACATACACGAATGTACGAGTTATCTACTTCTAATTGTAAGTAAAAACCTTCCGGTTGACGTTCGAAAGCGCGCATATATAAATTGTATAGTATTTGGTAAATACTGTTACCGAATGCAATTATTCTACGTACATGGCCCATTTGCGTGGACATCGCCAGATTAAGAGCATGCGGATGAGGAGGGTGCTGGTGTTGGCCCAAATTAGGAAGGTTCTCCGAACTGGATCGAAGAATACTTTGCGTGGCCGATGGTTGCTGCGTAGTTATAGTTCCTCGAGCATGATCCAAGTCGTGCAACATTCTGCCGGCACTAAATGTCAAGCGTTAATAGATGCGTAGACGTAAACTGCTACTATCCTGCTTACCTGCTACTGTCCTGCTCGATCTTGGCAATAATTCTGTCAATTTCAGAGCCAGCCGGAGGCCAAGTGGACGAAGGAATTGCGGATGTAACGTGACCGACTGTTGGGCCACGACTTCGAGTCCTTCTCAAGCTCGTCAATTCTAGCGATAATTCTTCGTGTTTAACTATCTGCAATTCGGTTTTTTTCTCCAACTCTCGAATTTTCGACTGCAGAGCTTCGATCGATTCTGGGCCTTGATATCGACCTCCCAACTTCTCGCGTAGCTGATTCTGTGCTTCCGCGTGTTGTCGTTCCAAATCCGTCCTCCGAGCTTCGGTATCTCGCATTTGCTGAAGTAGATATTATAACGGTTCATATCTCTAAGTAAAACTTTGACTATATGCGATAATAATCCCTTTGAAATCGATAGGAATTTATAGAGAAAAGATAAGTAATCGCGCATCGACGTTACCAAGTATTTTCAGAGTTGATGCAACATCGATAGACGACGTAGAAGGAACACATAAAAGGGGCACATATGAACGTCCTAAAATCGCGAGAACAAGAGGCTCGGAGGGGTAGGAGAAGGAGATATGAGGGAGGGAGGGAGGGGGAGGAGGAGAGGGGAAGGGGGAGTTGAAAAAAGAGAAGCTTTGGCTCGATTTCCGTCGAGTACAACAAGGCTGGACTCGTAACCGTTTTTAATAACCCGAAGCGACGTCTAGTTGGAAATATGATGCAAAACGGAAATCGTTGGTGCGATGTTAATAATGAAAGAAGGTGGAGGAGGCTTTGTACTCGGGATGCCTGCGGCCAGAGAAGGAAGCAAACTCGGACGGCCGTGCACGATGTGTCATCAAATCTTAACTTTTTGTACCTTTTTTTACCTTATTTTATCATTTGTTTCTTCTTACACTACATAGATAGGTGCATGCGAGAATACTTATAATATATTTGTACCGGAAAAGGCAGAATTATAAGAATAAGAAAGAGAAGAAGAGAGGAAGAGAATTACCTCGAGGATGGACTCGAGAATTGGATCCTGCATGATCGTGGAGGTGGTAGCCCCGACAGCAGATCCGGTAGCCTGCAGCTGCGGAGCCTGAGGTGCCGTGGAAGCGCCACCTCCAACACCACAGCACTGCAACATCCCTGAAGTCTGAGACCCTTGTCCGTCGTTATCACGGCTAGTCCCTATCGATCTAGCATGTATCTCTAGCTATCCTAATTAATTGCCGGCTTGCAACAGCGCCTGTAGTCGCTAGCGAATACTTTATTTATCACATGCGCTTTCAAAAATGCCAAACTAAAATGACTTTAACACGTTGTTATCGAGCAAATCTTTTTATTCTTCAAGCCTATCCTAACGAACAAATCTTATCGTCCTATTATTTCTCGTCCATTTTCTTTTTATATCTGAACTTGTTAACCTTGATTATTATTATTATTATTATTATTATTATTATTATTATTATTATTATTATTAGTCCACGTGTAGCCATCGGAATCAAGTCGCGCACAATTGCTGCTGCTGCTGCATAAGAGCCGTTTTCGGCGTATTCGAGTGACGCGTTAACGCATATTCCAAGAATTCCGATATTCGAAAAATTGTCTTCGATCGTTGGCAACAGGTTATTAGAGGAAGTTACGATTGATTACGATTACTAACCCTTTTGCATCTAATAGCGTTTAGACACGAATAGAATCGGTATCAAACGCTTCTTCCCGTATTACGTATTATTCCTTTAGTATTTTTTTGCAATTACGTATGAAGCAGCAGCAAAACAAGAAAGAAAAGAATAAGTATTTGAAGCTAAAACAAGCATCGAGAAAAGATGATTGATTGATTGCGTTTGGTCTCTCGCACATCGGTCTACTAAACGCAGATAAAACGAGACTACCAATACTTACATGCATCTCTACTCGTTATTCTTCCATCCGATGATTTTTCTTTGAATGCACCTTACGCGTTAAGGCTTATCTACATTTAATTATTGTCGACGTAGTATCTCTTCCTCCCTGTTGCCGGATAACCTAATAATTGTTTTGTTCATCAACCTTTGCACAAACCCTATCCAAATAAATATAATGTGTCAATCGTTCGTATCGCGATTTTAATATGCATTTTCATTCGAGTACAATTAATATTTCGTAAAACGAAAGAGAACAACGTCTTATCGTTAGAATCGAGAGATTACCTGAGAACAAATAAGTACATTTCAAAGGAAGAAATTTAAATAGATCAAAAATACACGCGTTCGTTCGTTCGTTCGTTCGCTCGTTCGTTCGTTGGTTCGTTCGCTCGCTCGCTTCGTCCACATCAACGGCGTTTAAATCACCTTTCGAATTATCGATTTTATTCTTACTCGGTGCGTCATACGATTCTTATTGATTACTGATTATCCTATCTCGTTAACTACGACATTTGACGGTTCTTACAGTCTAACGTTGAATCTTTGGAGATTTAGTCTTTAAAGAAGTCAAGAAAATGAACAAAAGTCAATCGAATCGAAACATCGACGTATTTAATTGGTAGAATCCTCCTTTTATTATTACTTTCTTTTACTTGTTAATGCAATACCCGCATCCTAAATCGTTTCCTTACGGCGAGACAAGCTCGACTACGCTTTCATTTTATCGGTTTGTCTCGTTTATCAACGACGTCGATAGGAAGTGATTAAAAGTAATCGAGGACGAAACGAACGGTGATAATTCTTTTCGACATAATAATAATCCTTTACCACGATAGGTCGTCCAAGAAATTTTCGAAAGAACCCACGTTAGTACGCACGCACCATTTCTCACAAAACGACGATTCTTGCGATAAATCGATATTGCGATTCGAATGATATCCGGTGGCATGCAATAAGAGATTATATAAAAGAAGAGGAATAACCAACGAGACCTTTTCCATTCGTCCAAATTTCGTTCTCTCGTAGAATTCGTAGAAAGGAAAAAAAAACTAGCCGAAAAGAAGAAAAAACACCGAAGGTATTATGTGCGAAAAATGCGAAGGAAATATGACGAAGAAGAATAATAATAATAATAATAAAATATCACAAGCGATAAAAGGGAAAGCTAAGAGAGATGGAAGGAGCGTGATTTAAGACTAAAAGATGGAGAGAACGAAAGAGAAGAAGGGAGGAGGTGGGCTGGTGGGAGATGGATGGGATGCTAGATGAACGGATCAGCGCAAAAGTCAAATCTTGCCTCGAACAAAAATCTGACTATAAGAAAAAGAGACAGAAGGAAGACAAATTAGTAGGAAATAGTGATCTCGAAGATAATAGGAACGCAACTAAGTTTCGATAAATGGGAAAGAGATCCTTTATCGTAGTAGATTTTAGATCGGGGACACGGCAAATGAGTGGTACGGCGCTGCTTATTGATCTCCCTACCAAAGAGATACGTGGAGAGTGTACGCGTAATGCAGGCGGTGCGCGCGAGGATGGAGCTGGTTCAACGTAGGGTGTCCAATCCTAAAAGCTCCTCCAATTGCTCGATACAAAATCGATACAAAAAGGATCGAAGGGAGAAGGTGAGAACGAAAGTAACGATATAGTAAACGTAACCCTCTCCCAATTACTCCGCCATATTGACTTTGATTTATCCTCGTCTCGGGCTCGCGACTCGAGTTCGTCGCCGTCGTCGAAACTGTCCACTCATAGCGGAGAGACCCGAACAAACGCTTTCCTAATCAAATTCACGTGCGATCCATCGAGCAATTTCATTAAAAAAACACTTTTGTTCGATCCTTAATACGTTTGTCACCCTTACCATCTTTCACGACGGCGACGATGGAAACACGCGATACGCACGACACAAGACACGCACACACACACACACGCACACACTCTCACACACACACACAACACGCAAAGAGACACTTACGATGACCGAATCGAAAGGATTGTGGCAGGCCAGGACTGCCGCTGCTGGTGTTGCTGCTGGTGCTGGTCGTGGTGGTGGTGGTGGTGGTGGTGGTGGTGGTGGTGGTGGTGGTGGTGGTGGTGGTGGTGGTGGTGCTGCTGCTGCTGCTGGTGGTGGTAGTGGTGGTGGTGGTGGTGCTGGTGCTGCTGCTATTGCTACTGCTACTGCTGCCAACGAACAAACTCCTCGGAACTCTTGAGCTTTTTCGCTTGCCTATCTCATCGTCCGTACACCCTCAAGATCTCTGCTCGAGCGTGGAAAGCAAGCGGCGGGAGAGGGTGAGCGGATGGGACCGCTGGAAAACGACGAAGGAGGAAGTATTCCCTTGCCGACGGATCGCGAGAGGGAAAAGGTGGGGGATCGGTCGTTCTCCACGTCGCTGCCGCTCCCCAAAAGGGATGGCCAAGGGGTAGCTCGTGGCGAAGGGCAAGAGGGGTGGCAACGAGCATGGATATGGGTCACTCGACGATCGATGCCGATACCGAGTGTCGCTGCGTTCTTCGAACTCCGTTTCGATCCCTCATCCTCTTTTCCCACCCTTATCTATTTAACTTCCGCTTTGAATCATCGTCGAAGCCATCTTTTAGATTCTTTAAACTCCTCCTAATTTGGCAGCCGTCCTAGTTTTTGAAACGTGCCACATCCGAAGAGAGTGCTTTCGTACGCATCTACGCGAGGGTGTAGCTTTCACAAAAGACCAATCAATACGTTTGACGACGACGACGACGACGACGACGACGACGACGACGATGACGATCTACCGATATCTCCTCGGCCTCGCCATTGCTTTCGCTACTACCCTCGTCCTTCCTTCATTTCTCTCTCTCTCTCTCGCCAATAAGCGCGCGCACCCACACACCTACACCTAGCGATACCATTGGTTTGTTCTCCCCTCTCTATTTCTCTACCACCCCTTTTTACAACCTATTCTTCCTCTTCCCTTTTTCCGAAATATCATTCTTTTTTCTTCTTTTTCTTTTTTTCTCCCCTTACGTTTTAGTCTATCGCCGATAATAATTAAGAGCTAGATCAAATTTCATTAGTCGACGAATTCCTCCTCCTACTTCCTCGATGGCCCATCATTTGCTATCTCCTTCATCTCGTAGTAATTCGGAATAATCGTTGTGGACGAAGTCAGGAACGTATTATGTTATTTTTCGTATGCCCAACCGAACGAATCTCCGTCGATTCGATTGCGTACTCGATCTTGACTCTCGACCGGTGGTGATGGTGGTAGTTCTCTTTTATTTAGCGTCCAGCCATGGAACGTGCTTTTCGAGAACCGCTAGACGATTATTTATGGGCTAGGGAAAATAGGGGTGTTCTAATTACGGCACTGCCTTGGGCGCAGGCGTTTCGACGATCCGACGACGACGTCACGGCGTTCTTACACACACCCAAGTATACCTGTTATACGCTTATCAATGAACGTACGACGCCTACGACAAATCCTGTTCCCTCTAGTGGTGAACCGGCCGACCCACCCGTTAGCCTTGTCCCTACTCTCGATTCCCGTTGCAACTTTGCTTTTCTCCCTTCCTTCTTCTTTATTTCTTTTCTTTTCTCTTTCGTCATCATTGTTTTCATGCATATGACAATACGAATCACGATGCTTTTTGATCTTTCAACCGATGATCGAGAATGAATCGAGCCTCGTCAATGTACGTACTACCTTCCTATATACATATATTTGTTCCGTTGATTTCGTCATCGCAGTACGTATCTTTCCCATTCACCGATTCGAATCAAAATCGATTTCACTCGCGTTTCGATATATTCCCATATCTTACAATTAGATAAATACTAATCTTATCGTTACATTATATTATTAATAGCGATTCCATCATTTTTCTGTTCTCATTTATTATTTCCGAGATTTTGTTGGGAAAACGTTTCTATTTCTTTGAAAACTGTCGTATATCCTTTCTAACGATATATCTATATGTCGAAAGAAATAGAGAAAAAAGAAAGGGGTGGAAGAAAGAAAAGATACATACACGCGAACAATTTTCACCGACGAGCCATATGCGATTTTTATCCATCGGATCTCGTGATGAACATTGCTTTCGGAGATTCAATTTATCTCGAGCGTTCTCGAATTGTTCGATTGTTGATAAGCCTATATATAATTAACACGTATTCAATTTACAATTGCTTTAGTTCGAAATAATTCGGCCAAAGTAGAACTGAGAACCTCGCAAAGTATGACAATTTCTCGAAAACGAAGCGTAAAATAAGGTATGTTTTTTCCAACGATCGAATTTGCGATTATATTCTATAATGTTTTTAGGACAAATTCGGAAAAAAAAGAAGCAACGAGCGGAGATAAACGGGACGTAACGAGCTAATAAAATAACGCATCCTTGACTTGTGTCGATATACGGGTATTCGTAAGATCTGAAATACAATACATAGATATATACGTAAGTCGATAACCAGGACAAATATTCAAACACATTTCATAGATTTATGGAATATTTTCTTTTATTCGCAAATCCTTTGCTTGATCTCTCATAATTTGTACTTTTATAAGAATTTGTTTGCAATATTTCTTAACTTATTGTTTATTACAGCACACATATTTATAAACTTTCTTATGAAAGATTTCTATTATTGCGTTCTAATATGAAACTCGGACATACGATCGAAGATTTGAGAGAAAAGTACCCCGAACTTACGGAGGAACTATTACTAAAGTTGGAAGAATGGATTCGGCAACGCAACCTTTCTGATATTCCAATAGAGCAGTTGGCAATCTTTGCACACAGTTGCTATTTCCAAACCGACGCGACATTGCGATGCATGGAAGCTTACTACAAAATAAGAACAACTTTTCCAGAGGTCTTTAGCAACCGCGATCCCAAATCAGAGAGCTTCCAATGTTCCCTAAAAAAGCTGTAATTACTTACTTATCTATTATTTTGACGCAATATTATATTACATATTATAAATATATTGTTGTAGTGTTGAAATTTCACGTTATAGAAACATTACAGCGCTACCTGTACCGGAACCCAATGGATATCGTATCATTTTTAAGCAATTAAAAGATACTAATCCGAATAAATATAAATTGGGCGATGCTTTAAAATTACTCATGATGACCGTGGATGCGACTCTTTATACCGAAGGCTGCGAACCCGGTTATATTTTTCTTTTCGATATGACTGGTGTATCTTTCGGACACTTGTCTACAATTTCCATCAGTAGTATTCGAAAATTCTTCCAATATATCCAAGACGGAATACCATTTAGATTGAAGGGTATTTATATCCTAAATGCGACCTGGATCCTCGATAAAGTCCTCGCGATCATAAGGCCCTTCATGAAATCAGAATTTTTTCAACTGGTAAAATTAACAAACAAGCGGGCTCTTGTTCTTTTTTCTTTTTCTATATATATTTTATCAAATAAACTCCTTGTTACATAGATACACGCATACACCGGCGAAGTATCGGAAGTTTACCAACATATACCTCCCAAGTGCCTTCCTAAAGATTTTGGTGGAGAATTGGACTACGTTGAAGTACTAAGTGGTAAATCGAATAACGTTCGCGCTTCAATATTTTCATAACTATTAAAGAATATTATTTTTAATACGTTTTCCCCCATATATATATATAGAAGAAAATTACCATAAATTACAACAATTGAGAGACTATTTCCTCGAAGAAGAAACCGTTTGTCAAAATTACAATGCCTCGCAAAAAAAGAATAAATAATTGTAATCATTTTATTTTGCATATTATACAAAATTGATCATCAAAGAATAAACGAAAATATATAGATCAAAATATATAATAGTTTGATACGATTCGTACCCACCCGCTAATGCACTTGCGCTGTAACATGGTCAGCAGAAAATGAGCGCGTCTTTATCCTACTTTATGCCATAGCGTGGCACACACATTCGTGGTCGATTCTGATTCGACGTTACTAAAGCATCTTCTCCCTTCCTCCTTACAGCTTGAAAATTCCTACAACTATTTCTCTCTCATATTACTTTTTCGAGTAATATCGATGACAATTAATTCCAATTAATTCATCTTCTCGATCTGATCTTTCCTGTCTCCTTCATAAAGTCTTGTCTTCCTTCGATTCTTCGATTGTATCGTTACGATAAGCGCACGAAAGAGTCAATATCAAGGAGGGAGACACCTCGGTGACGATTCAACGACACTTCCAGCAAAAGTTCAATATATTAGGAAAGAAAAATTACTAATCCGCTTTTCTTTCCTCAAATTTTTCTATTTTTATTTAATGTGACTTTTTTTTCTCTTTCTTTCATTCTTTTGACCCAATCGAATCGGTCGTTCTTCGAGAGTAAGATGTTAATACCGTTGATTTTATTCATCGGCACGATCATCGGATCGAGCGTTTCTATCGCCGAGGATTGCAAAGGTTGCGTCCCTTTGGATTCATATTCCTTTGACAAGGTATACACATTTCATTTCCTTTATTCTTTTCGATAATATCTTTTTAACCATTTCTATTCTCGTTTCTTTTGTATTATCGTTGTTTTTTATGACCCGTTACCATCGTTACCTGTACAATGTATACATGCATTTAATCCTTTTTCTCATTATTAAATAATTACTATTTTATCAATGAAAAAATAACAAGTACGCTTATACAATAATTGAACTTTCATATTTAATTGTCTATGTTTTATTATTATTACAGGTGATAGCCAAGTTTAAGGCAGTCGTTGTTAAATTTGACGTTGCATTCCCATACGGAGAAAAACATGAACAATTTGGAAAGATAGCGGCAACTACTAAAGATTCTCAAGATCTTTTAGTTGCCGAAGTTGGCGTTAAAGATTTCGGCAACAAAGATAACGCAGATTTGGCTAAGCGTTATAACATTAAAAAAGAAGATTTTCCAGTTGTTCTATTGTTTTTACAAGGAAGAACAGAACCTCTTAGGTTTATCGCAGAAAAGGATGTCGATTTTACTGCGGACAATATCAAACGATTCATTAAATCAAAGTCAGGTGTTTATCTTGGATTACCAGGTTGCGTAGAGCAATTGGATAGGCTCGCAGAAGAATTCAAAACTAGCCCAGAAAATGATAGACAGGTAAGATGGGCTAATTGAAAGAAACGATCTTCAAATTGTTAAACTATCTCTTAATAAATAAATGTATGATCCTTTCTTCTCAGGAAATTTTATACAAAGCTAAGGTTTTCGAAGATACATTACCAGAAACGCAACGCGCAGCTGCAAAGGTGTATGTTAAAATGATGGAAAGAATATTGGAGAGAGGAGACATATTCGTTCAAACGGAACAAACGCGACTAGAAGGTCTTCTAAAAGGAAAATTGTCAAACGAGAAGAAACGTACAATGGAAGAAAGAAGAAACATTTTACAATCATTTACGCATAGGGACGAGTTGTGAATAATTTTTTACACAATATGAATTTCTAATATATTAAAGAATATTCGAAAATATTGAAAATTGTCTTCTTTTTCTTGTTCTCTTATACAACGTATAATAATTGTTTTAATCTATACCACAGAGGTATACATTTTAAGGAAACTAAGTCTAGTATTAAATGAAAACAAATTTCCAAAGTAATGAATAATTTACTCCATTATTCTCTTATACAATATATATTTGTAATCCTCCCTCTTTATTTTCATATACTTGTTAACTTGAATTTTATTTTATAATTAAAATAGTAATGTATAAAATATCTTTGAACAAAGTACTGTCACAAATTGAAATTTCACTCCTTGTATATATAAATATCAAGTTTGTAAATTTATGTTGTTTTTACATGTATTCGGGTTATAAATTTTCTATTGATAAACATTTTCATGTATAAATGTTATCGTCCCTCCCTCCCTTCATCTACTCTTGATTAAAAAACTCGCAGCGTATAACATTCTTATATAAACAACACCTTATTAATAAAGCGAAGATATATTTTAGTTTGTTTCGAATCTAAAAATTTGTCTATAAAATCGTTCCTGAATCTCTCTTATAAGCATTGGTAGTGTATTATTGAATGCATACATGTACATATATATGCATGTACATGCATGCATAAATATTGCATATTGCTTGGAATGTGCCATATGGATATTAACTTCACTTTACCCCTGCACTATTGAAAGTTCATTAGATTTTCATATTCTTATTAATTTTTTGAATGATCATGTACTTCTAAATTTTCAAGTCCTTTAGTTACATCCTCTGTATTTTCTACGACTTTGATGTTTTCCACAGATTCTTTAGAAACCTCTTTGCGAACTTTTGTTTGTTCTTCGTTGTCAGTACTCCCACTGTAGCTTACATCACTGCAGGATTCACTATCACTATCGACGTGCTTAATTTCAGGATTGCTTTTGCCAGCGTAAATTTTACATTCAGATCTCACTATAGTTTTTGCTTTTTCAAAGGCATCTTTCCACAATGATGCATCTTAGATGAGAAAAAAAAACAAGAACAATACATCCATTAAATACGATACAAATAAATGATGATCTTATGAATGCTATTACGTAGATCTAATTAATTGTACATTATGTTACCTTAATGTGCATACGCAATAAAGAAGTAACAAAATATTAATATAGAAGAAGGTGGAATAAATGAAAACAAATTCTTACTTTCAGCATTTGCAAAACGTATTGCAAGTAATTCTGGTTTAAGTTTTTCATCTGCAAAGTCAGCAAGAACGCTCCAAACCCAAGCTCTGTCGCTACCACAATTTGGTTTCAATTCCATCCAAGGAGTGACAAAATGATTAGCACATATTTTCAATGTTTTGTCTCTGCGCATTACCACTCTAACTGTATTCTTCGTCTTATGTCTTAATAGTTTAACTTCTCCGGTACCACGTTCTTTCCATTCAGGTGGACTACTCGCAGACTCATAACGATATAGTTTAGCTCTTCTGTAATCACAAGTATTAAAGTACATCTATTTCTTTGCAAATATATTTTGAGTATATTATATAGATTTTTTCTGTCCCTAACTCGAGACTTACAATTTAATCATCTCTACTTCATTTTCTTCGTTATTGGAAACCTCTATTAGAGGTAAAGATATGATTGGTTCAAAGTGCACATCATTTTCTGTATTAACATCTTCATTCTCCTGCACCTCACAACTCGTACCCTTTACGTCCACATGATCTCCGTTCAACTATATTACGAATGATGCATTATTTATTAACTATTGAAATATCTATTTCTTTATATAATTAGATTTGACTAATTAGATTTGATTCTAGTATGAGCTTTCATTATTTGTTTATATAGACATTTTTCTTTAGCTAAGAAATCAAATTCTAATATTTATCTATAATATGATATATTCTAATAATAATAATTATAATTATTATTATTATTAGAAATAAAAGAAACTTACTTAGTCTAAATTTGAAATATTGAGAAAATTTGGAAGAACAAATTTTGATTATTTCAAATAAAATGTAGAATAAAATCTAAAATGAAATCTAGAATAAATATGAAATAATTACCACGTTTTCTGGCATATTTTTCTAATGTAGAATGGAATCGACCAGAATAATTGATATACCACTTGACACCGGTATTTTCAACGCAAAAAATTGCTAAGCAAAAATAAATTTTGATACAAAGAAATAACTGCAAATCTGTTTATTAATATAAAGTTGGCCGCAATTTTCTAAGTTTTCGACTCACTATTTTACCTTTATTCAAGAGAAATAGCTTCGTATGCGCAGAAGTTTTTCATCTTGTCGTCAACTGTTTTAAAGTACAGCGATTTTATTCTAAAATTTCCGTTTGATCGAATAACGTTGAAGCAATATTACAAAAACTGTTTGCCATTGGATGAAATCGGTTATCAATAAATCGTTTAAAATGGACCAATTGGCGTTAAGTATCAAGAAAAAAGTCTATTCGTATTTGTCATTCTGTTCGCAAGAGAACAATTCTATAACTGTTAACAATAAATAATGTTGAAAATACATATTTTTTTGCAATTAATAAAAATTGCAAATAAAGGAATGAAAATAGAAAATTGAAAATGAAAAAAGGTCCAAAACTAAACGTATGATTCGTCGTGGAATCACGTTCAACGTCGTCCAATAAAGTGAGCGGTAATTCGACGCGCGCATTGGAAAACAAGGTTAAGCTCAGTCGTGGCGGTACAACTGTTGGCTGGTAGCAATTAATTGGTGGGGATAATGTCAGGAAGAAGGGTAGGGAAGGAGGAAAAGAAGAAGAAAAGAGAGAGAGAGAGAGAGAGAGAGAGAGAGAGAGAGAACGAGTCGAAGGGAGTGGAGTGCGCGGTTCCCCGGGCGGCCATTGCGGGTACCTTGTCGAAAACCGCGAAGACGATAAAGTGCTTTGTGTAAGACGGATTAAGATCCAGAAAAATCAAGGCTCATCCTCGTATCAAGGTGCTCCGTGTGAAGCCCGGTACGCGCACGAAACTCCGGTCCGATGGCTGAGACCGACAAGTTAAACATTGATAGCATCATAGGTCGATTGTTAGAAGGTAAAGCTCTGTCCGATCATTCTTCTTAAGAGGAGTGGGAAGGGGGTTGGGAGGGAGGCTATCGTACGGAGTTAGTAAGCCGCGTCGTCATTCTTTCTCGACCTTTTACTTTCCTTAACTGCCGATCATCTTTCATTTCCCTTTATATTACTTTTCTTATTTTCATCTAACGCATATGTATATATTTTTTTATCGAACCTCTCGATATACCGATTATGCAATGTAATCTAAACACGACAGATCGCATTAAAGAATCTTGGTGAGTACGCGCGCGAGCGAGGGAGAGAGAGTGAGAGAGAGAGAGAGAGAGAGAGAGAGAGAGAGAGTGAGAGAGAGAAAGGAAAGAGAGAGTTAGTTACAATATTATCGATGGTTTGTTTACATAAAAATGAGGTTGACAACCGCCTTCGAATCATCGAAGCGTTTGGGCGAGGCCCGATTCCTTCCTTCTACTCTTCTATTTTACTCAAATATATTATTTCTTATTTGCAACACTCCTAATATTATTTCAACGAATATCGTCGATGTCGCCATCAATGTTGTTTATTATAGATTCTATCTATTAGCTATATTAAGAACTCATGCTGATTCATACAAATATTCGATCAAGGGTGCGTGCTTGCGTTCGGTTTACGTATACGCGCGTGCGTGTCTGTTGCGTGTCTAGGACTTCTGAGAAATCTCTATATGTAATACATTCAATTTAAGTCATCAAGTAAAGAAGATTTGCTAACACTATTCTACAATCTTCTTCTTCTTCTTCTACAATCTTGACCTTATTTAATCTCTCATTTTTCCTTTCAACTCTTATCATTTATACGTTTGAAAAATAAGATAATATTGTATATATATATATATATATATATTGTATATGTATCATAATGTTTTATTTTATTAGTACGAGGTGCTAGACCAGGAAAGAATGTACAATTGTCAGAAGGAGAAATTCGAGGCCTTTGTCTTAAATCTCGTGAAATATTTTTGTCGCAGCCTATTTTGCTAGAGCTCGAAGCACCGCTTAAAATATGTGGTATGTTTCTATAAAATGTATGCATTGCTTAAAAACACTGTATATTAATATATTTCGTTAAAACTTGACTAAGGACTTGCTTTTTAAGGTGACATTCATGGTCAATATTATGACTTATTGCGATTGTTCGAATATGGTGGATTTCCACCCGAAAGCAATTATCTCTTCTTAGGAGATTACGTCGACAGAGGAAAACAATCTTTAGAAACCATTTGTCTTCTTCTTGCCTATAAGATCAAGTACCCTGAAAATTTTTTCTTACTCAGAGGTAACCATGAATGCGCTTCTATCAACAGGATATATGGATTTTATGACGAGTGTAAGTATTTTATAAAGTTACAAATCAATCCTATCTTTTCATTACTTATAATGGATATATGCGAAAGTAAGAAAAGATTATTCAACTAGTATCACGTTTTAAAGTTTATTAATGGATTAAATAATATTTCAGGTAAACGCCGATATAACATCAAGTTATGGAAAACCTTTACAGATTGTTTTAATTGTTTACCTGTTGCGGCTATTGTGGATGAGAAAATATTTTGTTGTCATGGAGGATTGAGTCCAGATCTTCAAAGCATGGAACAGATTAGACGTATCATGCGACCTACAGATGTGCCAGATCAAGGACTTCTTTGCGATTTACTATGGTCCGATCCGGATAAGGATACCATGGGTTGGGGTGAAAACGATCGTGGCGTCTCTTTCACGTTTGGCGCAGAAATCGTTGCGAAATTTTTACATAAACATGATTTTGATCTGATATGCCGTGCGCATCAAGTAAGTGTCCCTTTCCCTTTATTTTTGTTAAACTTTCTAAGTTGTCATCGATGAATCCGTCGTTATAAACTTTTTCATTAACATTTCAGGTAGTAGAAGATGGCTATGAATTTTTTGCTAAACGACAGTTGGTAACTTTATTTTCTGCTCCAAATTACTGCGGGGAATTTGATAATGCTGGTGCCATGATGTCAGTAGACGAGACTCTAATGTGTAGTTTCCAAATTTTAAAACCAGCGGATAAAAGGAAATTTACTTACGGTGGTCTAAATGCAGGAAGACCAGTAACACCTCCCCGAGGTGCAAATAACAAAAATAAAAAGAAGTGAAATTATTAGAATGATTTTTGGACGCAAAAGACTTAGGACCTTATGTATTGTTCCCCACATCCGTTTTTTTGACATTACGAATTCTTATAAATAAGAGTTGCTATTAATTCATTGCAGAGCATACGAAGTTCATTTAAAAGAAAAGAAAAAAAAGCAATGACTACTTAAAAAGATGGCAGATATAATCCGGAGAGGCGTTGTTCGTTATTCGCGAGATTTCCAAAATGAGAGTAATTCAGTTACGGCAAGGTAGAATTTATCGGTTGGAAATTGATTTTTGTTTATACGTATACGCGGTCGATTTAATTATGGAGTAATAAGAAAATAAAAAAAATATATATATATATATTATATAAGAAAAGTACGAGTCATCGAGAAGGGAGATGAAAAAAGAAAGAAAAGAAAGAAAGGGGAAAACACCAAAAGCGTAAACATTGGAATTAAAAGGAAAAAACGGATTAAAATAACGTAGATCTTAGAATAATAATAGCTATCACTCGTTCGATAAAACGATCTCTGAACTATAATATTTATCACTCTTGCAGCTTTTATATAGTTCTGTCAAACAGAAATGAAATTATATATTATTTTGTTCCGCTTAAATTTGTTCCCTAATAACGCGATACGACCAACAAAATATCCGGAAACTTTATTGTAACGATATAATATACGATGTGTAAGCGCGATATTGTATTATTAGCGACTGCCTATGATCGTTAACTATCGACTGTAATACGTCCGTACGAACCTTGTACAAAGTAATATTATCATAATCGAAGCTCAACGTTTCTCTGATAAAAAAGAAAAAAAACGACTAACACTCGCACAAACTTCGTAAAACAGATTGGTAGATGAATGGATTTACGTAATAAACGTCTTTATATATACAAATACATGCGAGATGTATAAAATAAAATAAAGTTTCACTTTTTTGTAGAACCCCCTTAAATAATATATATAGTTCAATATAAAAATAACGTAATAGATTTATAACAACGCTGCAAAGCTTCTCCGGACCCTAGCCCAATATCATTTTAAACATAAATACGAGAAGGAAGTAATATTATGTTACATTATGTTTTAAATAAAATATATTTTACGCAAGTAGTTTTGATCGTTTAGGTGAAAATATGGAAAAAGAGAAATATTTTGTATTACGGATATATATTAATTTTTTTTTGACATGAATTTGTGCATGGTCCTACTTATTATCGTGGCAGGATGAAACTGTTTTTATCGTTATCACAATCGTGTATTCCTTCGATTTTCATTTCCTCTCCTGCGTACTATTATGCATATTTAATCTATCATATATAAAATGCAACGATTTTTTTTTTCAATTTAAACAAACTATAACCGGAATCGATTATTTTGCCTCTCTGATATCTGTATATTCAAAGTTTCCTTTTTTATAAATAAATCAGAGCGAAAAACTCAGTATAAAGTATCGCTTTGTTTAACGAACAACGTCCTCTAATATATACAACTTTGCTAAAAACTGTAATTCTTCTACTTTTTATTCGTCGTACATAAATCATTGTCATTTGATTTGATGGCATACACACATATACATACATACATACATATAAAATAACAGTATTGGTACTATGCTATTACAATGCAATTACAATAATGATAGCGAATATTAAACAATAAATTCGTAAACTACAATTTTAGCTAGATCGTGTATTTCTTACCATTGCGTATTATTTCCACACACATCAGAAATTAGTAAATGATAACATTCACGGTGATCATTTTTGACAACCTGTTTACAGCTCTGCAACGTGAGATTCTAAGTAATTAATCGATAAAAGATTAGAGGTGATAAAGTAAACAAGTATCTATTACTTCTGACATAAGCAAATACTATACTTGGAATCTAGACAATGACGTATGAGTGTGTATGGTCATTGAAATAACGTAGTGGTCGTAAAGGTAGGTATATATATATACATATATATATATATATATATATATGCAGAGTTGTTTGGAAGCCTCGCGTATCGTGGTTGAGCGTTGAATTTCGTTTGGCTGAGAAATCGGTGCTACCCTTAAAGAAAAGAGAGAGAGAGAAAAAAGAGGCGGGACTTCGCCTTTCGGCGAGAGGGCCAAAAGAACGATGCCAAGTTGCGAGGCGTCAGAAGGAACTTTGCTTTCTAGTACGCGTGGGTGTCCATGTAGGAGGTTCTTCGAGAAACCCCTCCCTTCGCGTGGCACCTCCGCCCGTAGCTTTTTCAGCTCTTCAACGATTCGAAAGAGGGAGGGAGAGAGAGAGAGAGAGAGAGAGAGAGAGAGAGAGAGAGTGAGAGAGAAGGAGAGGAAAGAGAATGATGTTCCGATGATAAGACTACTAGCGGGGGTAGTTGCCAACAGAGAGTCCTTTCTGAATCATCATCCGATTTCATCGTCCGAGATTTTCTCTCTCTCTCTCTCTCTCTCTCCCGTTCCAGAAATCCTTTCTTGTCAGCAAACTCTCTCGAGGGCGAGGACAAGTCCCGTTGACGATCGGTCGGTCGGCAAGTTTTGAGATCATTATTTCTGCCTTGGTAGCCCTCTTCTTGTGATACGCCTAGCTGTCAACGACTCCAATTCGAAATTCGGTCAAATTCTGTGACTTGGAACGGAGAACGAAGAATACCCTTGTATAATGCTCGGTATTTTTCTTCTTCTTTGAAATTTGCGCGTTCTCGTAAGTAATAATACAAATTGTAAAAAGTTATCATTGATCGGGAAAGTAATATGTCGAGTCAAAGTGTTGTTTTAAAGTGTCATCGTCGTCGATCGATTGGAAATATTGAAAAAATGAAGGAAAAGTGATAAGAAAGATATATTTGGTAAAGTTTTTATAGATATCGTGGTTCGTTCGATGTGTTCTTCGGGTATAAGTTAAATATGCAAGAGCAGCAAGAAGAACGACACGATATCGGTGGTGCCGATTGTTGCTATCAACAATGGCCGACGCAGCAACAGCCACCGCATCAACAACTGTCGATGGTACCGTCACCGATGCAACAAATGGAAGGTGAGTCCAATCCTACATTTCCTATCCTAAGTCCTTTTCCAAGCGTATAATAATCAATTCTGTTAGCGTGTCTACAAAGCGCAGGCAGAGTAAAACGATCCCGAAGTCCAAATTCGAGCAAGTCCTCTTTGGCGTCGGGGCACGCTTCGAATCCGCTGGCAGTAACAGCGGTAGGTACCTCTTCCTCTTCGGCGGATCTTCGGAACGACAGGAACAATAATAATCGACATCACGGCGATCACCACCATCATCATAATAATCATCACCATCGACGTAGAAGCGACGAGGGAAGCGAAGAAATCGGCTCGAAGAGTCCGCCGCTTCATCCGGCACTCGCCGGAGCTGGGGCAGCGCTCGAAGCTAAACCACTTTGGGAAGAATTCCATCAATTGGGAACGGAAATGATCGTGACCAAAGCTGGAAGGAGAATGTTTCCTACTTTTCAGGTGAGAGCTTAAACCACTGAACATTTGCAACCATTCGTGGAAGAAACGCGGGCACGAATATAAAAGAAATAAATAGAAGAGTGGAGGAAATGATGGATGAAAGTGACCACCACCTTTTCAGTGTCGACTCTTTGGTTTGGACCCAAACACGGAGTATCTTTTGGTCATGGATTTCGTCCCGTGCGACGACAAGAGATACAGATACGCTTTTCACAGCAGTGCTTGGGTCGTAGCTGGTCGAGCCGATCCAGTTTCCCCGCCAAGGATTCACATGCATCCTGATAGTCCTGCCAGCGGAGCTCACTGGATGAAGCAACCGGTCTCTTTCGACAAACTCAAACTCACCAATAATCAACTCGATGACAACGGCCACGTAAGTCCGTCAAACTTATCATCTTAGAGATTCTTAAATCAAACTCCTCGGTTGAGTGTCTTTTCTTTTTCGGTTCTCGTTAAAACTCTTTTTCTCTCTCGTTTAAAGTACCCACGTAATAAAATAGAATGAAAAATGCATCGTGTTTTCGATGTCGTCGGAGCCGACGCCGACGGCATCAACGACGGCATCAACGACGGCATCAACGACGTTCCTTCTCTTCTTCTTCCACGTGTTTGTCGTTTCGGACGAGTTCGCTTTAATTGAGCTGAGATACGAGGCTGTCGTTTACCACAAATTCTAACTCACCCTAAAGCCATGATTCTTTTCGCGAGAACGAAATATTACTTTGAAAATTTACTATCTTTTTTCAACTTTCAAAGTTTTTTTTATCGGTTTTCTGCTAGAATCAAATTACAATCTATTAACATCGATCGAGCATCCGCAAAGCGACGTTCTTCGCATTTCTACTTCATTTGAAAAACATATTTTCGAATTTACTGGATCTCGAAGCTGCGATGGATTTTGATATTCGAGTTTAAATCGATCTTTTTCTCCTGTCGCCACGATGGCATGGAGCATCGTAAGCCTAGAATAACGTAAACACAGTTAACGTAAACGAAAAACGTAAACGCATGGGAAAAGAGGCCGAACCTAGGAAAAAATTAGCAGCAGAAATTGTTATAATTTCATATGCATACGCGACTGTGTGTTATACCAAAGAAAAAGAATTTATACATAAGTTAGCAATTTATCACGAATCTCAGCTACAAAGAATACAACGTTAAGGTAAACATATAAACGTTTTTCTTGATAAAATTGATTATAATCATAAACTTTTTTCAACGATTTTTCTTTCAACGATCACTCGCTTACGCATATCGATTTACATTAACGATCGCTAATTTACGAACTCGGAGTCGGCGATTGACAAAAGAAAGAGGAAAGGGTCGATGCTCGAAACAGTTGAAAGGATCGATTCTTTTTCTTCTTATCGAATGCAAGAAGCGTAACAACAAGCGTAATTAGAATCGGATAGCCAAAAATAATCGGAACGATTTGTCGTGCCAAATCGATCGATCGATCGACGACGACTAAAAGGGAGAAAGGTAGACGAGCAGTGTGCAATCGGTATTGCAAACCCAACAAAAAGTGCACGTGGGAGAATGGGTTCGTTGATTTTTTCGCGACTCGTATTAGTTTGGTTCTTGCTTTTGCTAATAAAATTGCTTCGAAATAATGATCGAGGTTCGATAAGACGCGTTTTGGAAACGTACGAGGTCTCTATTTTTCGACGCTCACGGAATCCTTGAAAGAGACCAGAGTCTCATGCCCTCCGCTCGCGTTCCTTTCGAGAATTTATTGCTCGCCGTGTAAGAAGACCTTTGACACGAAAAGGGGAAAAGAGAGGGAAGAAGGCGACAAACAGGCCAGTTTGTTCTTTTAATTGCGTACGGAAAAATGCGCTACAGGTCCGTAGAAAAAGGCTTAGAGGAGACGACGACGGTGCTAGAACGTTTGACGATACGAGTCTCTTAATTGGCGTATCCCATCGAAGAGAACCTTTCCGGATCGCATACCATTCGTGCTCGAGTTTTTTCTTGGTTTTTTTTTTTTTTYTTTTTTTTTTCCCTTCCTTTTTTTGCTTTCTTTTATTTCTGTGTGGCACAGATTTGTCAAAGAAGAAAAGGTGGACGCTCGTATGAGACGTTGGTCGAAAAAGAGAAGAGATTCGATTGCTCGTTTGGGGCCACACGCATTTTCCACGGGCGCAAGGCGCAGCTTCTTCTTGGTTTTCTCTTATTTTTCCTCGTCGAGCGAGAGCGGACGCGTCACACGTGCGCTCTCTTCGCCAAGGCATATGCACATTAGCGTACGCATAGGAAAGAACCAAGAGGGTGTCGTATTGCCGTTGGGTCGGGGGTTAGTTTTTACACTAATTAGTCACCGACTCTCTTCTGCCTGTCAAACATTGTGACCGCCCCCCCGTGGTGCTTCTTCCTCGCGTATCCGTTGTTCGCGTCTTACGTTCACGTCATCTTTACTCTTTTTCATTCTTTTTCTCCAGATCATCTTGAATTCGATGCACCGATACCAACCGCGATGTCACGTGGTGGTCGCCCCCTCTCCTCCAGGCTCGGCACCAGATCCAAGGACGGAAAATTTCAAAACGTTCTCCTTCCCGGAGACGAGATTCACCGCGGTCACGGCTTACCAAAATCATCGTATAACGCAATTGAAAATTGCCAGCAATCCTTTCGCCAAGGGATTTCGGGATTGCGAGTCCGACGATTGCGACACAGTCCAATCACCCGTTTCCTCGGCCATGCAGAATCCCGCTAAGAGAACGGCATCCAGTTCTACCAGTGGCACCGTAGTAAACGCTGCTAACTCTAACGTTATTTCCGCGAGCGGATATCCGAACGCTATTATACCACAGGGAATGCAAATATCTAGCTTGTCCACTCAAGAACATCATCATCATCATCATCATCATCAGTTTTACCCTACGGCTCCTTCGGGACCTTGGTCCTCTTATCCTCCTCCCCCGCCTCCCCCGCCGCCACCTCATCCACATCACCACGGACAATCCAATCCTCCCGTAAATTCCTCCCTTCATTATCCTCATCCTCATCCGCATCACGCGCATCCTGGTACTACGTCTCTTTACGGACCGCGATAATTCATTATACCCGTATGTCGTCGATGATACTCGCGCCTAAACCAAACCTACGCATTAGTCTTAAGATTATATCGTGGATAAATATATCTATTTTCCTAGAGAGATCTTATCTTATTTATATTTAACGTTAGATATTTTCTATAACGACGTTCGTTACGAAAGATTTGATATACATATACTATATTATATACAATACATAGGTATCTTACGATTTGCGTTAAAATGTTAACCAGTTCGATTGTAAGTTCGACGTAACGTCGTCCAAGAAGGAAAGTGCCTTTTGTAGGAGCAAAGTGCGTCTATTTATACGAGGTATCTCAAATGCCGAACGAGCCTAAAACGCTCTCTTGAGCCAAGACGGGAATGTAAACGCTCCGTGACAACCCATGAGAGTGCGGGACCGTTAAGTGCCTTAATAAATTATGCCTCGAGTATCGTGCCATTGTACTTTTAAGTTTAGAGAGGAGTTGCGTGCTTTTCCAATTCAACGGACATTTTGACCAGTTATCCGATCAAAAATGCGACTTTTCTTTAACGTATTTCGTAGCTACTAGTCTATTATTTGTTCCAAAAATAAGCACAAATACACTAAGTTTCGAGACAAATTGTATTATTCCTATCACTCACATTCCCTTCCAAACTTCTTCTGATCGGACACCTATTGTTTTCCATTATTTTCAATAAAGGTCAATACGTTAATAAGAAAAATCGAAATTCGTAAGACGGTCTTCTCGAATTGGAGTATCTTCTGGCAGTGTGGCCCTGATGCACGCGGCACCTACGGAGAGACGGACGTGCCTCTTGATTGATGACCGAGCACCAAATGACGCTGTGTAAACATATTAGCGTATCCTTAATGACCACGGATACATTTTCTCATTGGCAAAGAACGTATTTTGCGGTTACAACCGAGTTTTACTGAATATTTTTTGAAAAACATTTAATTTAAACGAGGGTCATTGTCAAGCAATGTTCTAATTTCTGTATCTGGTAAGTGTTACTTAAAAGGTCCCTCGGACCCTTTCCATTTTCGACTTATTGCACGTGACGGCGCCGGTCGTAAAACAAGATTTTGCGATCAAGAGGTTGCGAGCTCGGTCGACGCCCTTATCTCGCGCCTATATTCTTTCATCTTTTCACACGAGGAACCTAAAGGAATTGGCCCTCGAAAGGTCAAGCGACATAAAAAGATACCCTCAAAGACGTTTCGTAGAGCGAGATCGTTTCAAGATAAACGGAACACCAAAGATGCCGTGGGGTCGTTGGTGTCCTTTCGACAAAGTAGTAGTCCTGGAATTGGACAAATTTACGAGCTCTTTCATCTTACGATTAGTTTTAATCGCTGATACCAATAACAATGTATAGAACATAGAAAATCTACCTGCGTTATTTGCCAATTAAAAAATATTTTTATTCGACATTAATCGTTAAGACGAACGGATTCGGATTCTATCATAAGAACAGCTGATGAGAAAAATAGAAAAAATATGAACTCTATATATTCTAAGGAAGAACGTAATAAATCTTGCTAATTTTCCGAGTGTGCCTCGTTGGTCGCGGATCAAAGACCGACAAATGAATCGCTCGGTTGAATTTGCCGGAAAAGAGGAGGAAAAGAGAAGAGAGAAGGAAACGTCTTGCATCCCACGGGCCATGAATCCATCATCGCCAGGGGTTTCGCCAGGGGTTTCGCCAGGGGTTTCGCTACGAGCTCGCTCCGAGTTTGCCCCGAGCTCGCCACGAAAAAAAGACTTTTATACTTTTCGAGCTAATTCCGACATTTCTTTAGAACTTTGATCAACTTTATTCGACCGAGAACAAAATCTAATTGTTGTTCTTGTTCATTTTTTATTCCCTCTTAGGATTTTGGCCAAACTATGATTATTACTATTTCCTGATGCTATAAGTTTGTAGACAAATATTTTCTTCTCCAAATTTCCAAGTACATACTTTAAGAAAGGGCAAAGACAGAAGGCTTCCTCTTGGTGGAGGAAAGGAAAAGTGGCAGCGTGTAAAGAAAAAATAAAAGAGGTGAGCAAGGAAGTAAGAGAGATGGCGGTATTAGGGAGACGGAGAAGAAAGTTGCGGACGTAAAGCGTAAACATTGGAGGTGCGATTTGACGTGCACTCCGGCCATTCGAGACGAGGCGACGCGTCTTGCTCTCGTTGGATATACGCTTTAAGAATCCCGAAGAAGAGGACAAGGCGATGGCTGGAATCTGTAAATCTGTCATTGCGGCCATATTCTTGTACGGCTGGTACCGCAGGATATGAACTTGCGTCTCGTACACGACCGACCGACCGACCGACCTATGATTCGTCTTCCTCGACTTCCTCTTTCTCCTTCTTCAATTCAATCATTTGAATTTCTACAAATTATTTCATATATTCGATTAACATTATATATATATATATATATATATATATATATANATATATTTATTCCTAATATAATGTTCCCAAAATTAAATGTTAATTTATATAATTAGCATAAGTAGGTTCTCTCCTCTTATGACGATACGTCAAACGACTCTTCTTTCATTTTATAAATATTATCAAATATACATATATATATACACACAGTTAGGTTCTGCGGAGGAGGAAGAAGCACGCGGACATATCCGTCAACGTAATGAAAACCGTTTAAGCGATCTCTCCGAGCGAAGACTGACGTTGACCGTGAATCTCTCTTTCCAAGATTGAAAAAGTTTACTTTACGATGTAAATAAAGGGGACGACTTTGCGAGACTTATAGAGAGATGGAGAGGAAAGGGTATGGCCACGTGCGTGCAACGATTGCTATAATTTTGATATCAAATTTTCAAAGCGATCCTACTTCTTATTTATCTTTTCTTATATGTTCCTCGTACGTGCATACTACTAAAGAATAAAGATAAAAGCGTAGAGGTGTTCTTCAAACTAAAATTAAAGATGGAATGTTAACCTTAACCCTTTGGGCTCCGACTGCGATAGCTAAAATATAATTTCTAGTTATTTCAATACTAAGAATAAAAAATGAATTAATGATTTAGCGAAAAAGATAATAAAAAGTATAAGTGGGTAGAAATTAGGTGAGATACTCGTAAGGTAGATTTCGGAGGACGTGTATTCGGCGCGCATATCTTATCTCGCCGCTGGAATCCTCATATGTCTGTCATCGTACTTCTCCAACACCTCGCTCGAATCCTCCTTCTCTCCTCCTTCTCCTCCGACGCCTCTGCCGTTCTTCTTCTTCTTCTCCTTCTTCTTTTTCTCTTTCTCAAAGACGGCAATACGAGAAAACACTATCTCTCTGTGTACTCTCTAGCTGGACAAAAATATCATCATCTCGTCTATTGCTCGTAACTCGAGCGTCTTTACCATCCTGCCATTGTTATCAATAAATGCATCATTTGCAAAAACCTACAATCCTATGCACCCGCCATTTTGTACTTTTCTATTTCGATACTCGTTTCACCGACTTTATTTCAATATAACCTCGGTTTTTAATTATTATTTTTATTATTATTTCTATAAGAATTTTTGATTCATATAGCAAAAGAAATATAGTATTATGCGAATTTCAAAAAGTTAGATTTACCATTTCTTTTGTGATCGTCGTTGCGCACTTCGTGAACTTCATTTAAATGCAAATAACGATGGCCTTCGATTTCATTTGTGGAAGAACTATTAAAATTTGTTGTAGAATTAATATAATCGAAGGGTTTTTTATTCCTTATAGTACCTATGTACAATTTAGAAAAGATACGTATTAGTTTGAAATTTTGCAGCAAAATTCGGATCGTTCAATAAAGTTTGTCGGTAAAAAAGGAAATAGTTACTGCTTTGCACACAAGATGATGCTGTACCAAGGCGACCCTGGCGCCATATCGTGTAACCTGGAAGAACTTTACTCTGTCAGCGGAAAAAGAACAAAGTTGCGTTGTAGAGAGAAATATACTAACGACAATTCTAAATATTAGGTTAAGTTACAGATTAAACGACGCATCCTAAAACATAACGTATTACTAACGTAATTATTACAACTGTTATGAGAAGTAACGTGACGTCATGAATTTCCTCGTGAAAGATTTGCCTGAAAAACGCAAAGTTTCGAGTTCAACGGTGGTGCAATCGGTCAACGAATTGCGTACAACTACATAAAAATACATTGTATACATTTCTATGTGCAAGTTGCCTTGTAAGAAACATTTTGTATGCGTTGTCATTTTTGTACGTAAGGTTTACTATGGAAACTCCTGGATCTCGAGCTCTCGAAGCTGCTAAAAGTTTCAACGATTTGGTTATTTTTAAAAAACCAATTGGCGTTGCAAAGAAAAGTAAACAGATTCGTTCAAAAATTTTGGATGAAGATACATACATCGAAAAAATGGGCAAAATTATACAAAGAGATTTCTTTCCACATTTGGAAAAACTTCAGGCTCAGAATCAGTATTTGGATGCCTTGGAACAAAATGATGTGAAAAGAATGAGGGAACTTTATGAGAAATATAGTTCTGGTCGACCAGCTACGGAAAGACCTGCCAGTCCAGCTACTTTTGAAACTCCGGTACGTAAAGATGAGTCAGAAGATGAACATTTGAGATCTACCAAAGCAACCAGAGATACGCCTTGTAAAACTGAGTCTAAAGACAAAGATATAGAGAATAAAGTAGGCTTAGATGCCTTTTTAAGTATTAATACTAGCGAAGATAATGCAAGTTTTGAAGAAATGATGGTAGAAGCGGAGAGAAGACGCAAGTTGAAATATGCATGGCTTTACGAAGCAGAAGAAAAATCTAACTTGCTCGCTATAGAAAGATCTAATAACAATTCTCTTGGCGTTGGACAAGAAAACAAGAGGCAGCCTGTATTGGATACTTGGAATTACAGGAATAAAAATTATATTATGTATATTCCTGACGGCGTAGAATTAACGGCAGATGAAAAGATAGATTTAGCGAAAGGAAAACAAATGGTAATGCATGAAAATACACGACTTAAAGTAAATCCGTTCAACGAACAACAGAATAAAGAAGCCATTAACGAATTGGCGAAACATCAATCAAAAGTCAATGATGGTAAGATCGGAGTTGACGGAAAGGAAGTTGTAAAAAATGCTACGCCAACTGTGAATGGTTACAGTTTTGTAGCTACTCCTAGTCCTCGACCAGGTGAATGCGAAAGTCCTTTGATGACATGGGGTGAAATCGAAGGGACTCCTTTTAGATTAGATGGCGGTGATACTCCATTACTGAGAACTAGTCAAGGTCCTTCGTTTAGGATGGCAGAACCACCTAAAAGAGAACAAATAGCTTTACAATTAGCGGAAAAAGCTGGTGAACGACACAGAGATAGGAAGAATAAAGCACTGGAAGCAGCCAGAAAATCACTGGCAACGTAAGTATCGAAATAAAGTCTGATTTCTACGTTAAGTCGGCTCAAATATTACTCGAGTTCTTATTGTTTTGTTTATTTTAATAGGCCCTCTCCAAGATCGACCATCGATCGTTTAAGTACAATGTCACCTGCAGCAAGAAGATTGGCAACCCAAAAACTTCGCATAGCACATACTCCTTCGCCTCGAAGAGTTTCTTTATCGAGAACGCCGTCTATAGGTATTAGGACGCCGACTACGCCTAGAGCAAACACCCCATTGAAACGTGGCACAGATTCGTCGGAAAGAAGTAATGGTACTAGCCGAAGATCCGAAGGTCCTGTTCTAACGGACAATTTACTCAATTTACCGCCACAAAGACAAAGAGCTTCTGATTTTTTTAATAAATGAACAAATAAAGACAATTGTGGGTTTAATTCCGACGTCGTAAATGACTTTGCATACCGCAAATGAATAATATTACCATATTGGTGAATCCAAAACACGCGAATCTTGTAAATATGAATTTTAACATAAGAATAAAGTGGTTATGTAATAATTATTGTTATAAATTAATATTGTATATAATATGCAGAGAGTAAAATATAATGCGCTTTTAGTTTTTCAACGAGTATAATCAATCTTTTTTTTAAACCTAAGTATCGTATTTCAGCGACAGTTGATACAATTTTTCAAAAAGATACTTCCTTTTGGACGTTCTCGCAATAAATTTGTCGGAATTGAATTTATTCGAATATGTCACGCTTCGTATTCTATGTTCGGTCACGCCTCGTATTCTTCCTTTAAACACGGAAATAATACACGATCCGACGATCCCTTTAACAACTGAGAAATATACCGGAAGATATTAAGAAGGATAAACAAAATAACATTTATGACAACCGGAAATGTATATAGTTGTGAATAAAAAGAACAACAAGATGATGTGGAATGATGAGTAATGGTCAATTGTTGCAACATCTTTTTTTTCAACTGGATCGAATTCTTATATAAATGAGAGAAAAAAATAAAGAATCGAGTATATGGAGTAAAAAAACACGTAACAATAATGTGCTCGACTTGGTTAAAGGGTATAACGTTATTCCTGTTGATCTCTACTGTCTTGGCTCAAACGGGACAAGAAGGATGCACTACTTGCGGTCGTCTTGGATCAGGTATTTCAATATATTCATTTTGTCGCATAAAGTTTGTATTCGTTAATACACCGACGACGCGTATTAAATCATCAGGTAGTAATCCATGCAGCTGTAACAATGTCATTGTCGAAGCTACCGAAGTGGCCAAGCCTATACTGTATGCGGCTCCAGAAGCAATAAACGAAGCTGCGATCGTTCGCGAAGGTGGAAAACCTGCATGTTCCGAAACGCAAATTAATGCATTGAGTTTCTCGGAAAGTAGTATAAATGACGATACGATAAGTCCGAGCGACAATAGTTTTAGCTCGCCAATCGCCACAGATCTTTCCAGAAAATATCATTCTTCCGAGTTGACGGATATCGTTCAGACAGAACCAACGTATCCAAATTCAAACGTTCAAATAGTACCCAAGTAGGTAAAACGATACATTAAACGCAACTAATGCGATTTTTTCTTTCTTCTTTTCTTATGCGAACGATTAAAATAATTCGAACGTTCTTTCAACAGTTTCTCGCCTGTCAATAATCCTTGTAACCCGAGCAAATTAGCGGCTATAATATCGGGAACGCGCGTCAAAGTCACTCCTGCATATCCCGTTAAAATGAAATGTTGTCAAGCTAATCCTTATCAAGCATGCATCAATTACATTTCGGGTATTCGAGGTGATCCTTTAAGCGTGAAAACTCATATTGGGACTTCTATTGGATCGCCCCAATTCGGAATTGGAAGTTACGATACCTCTAGCATCATTTACGATACTTCTAACGGATTGCCTAGATTAGAGACCGGAAATGGCGATTACGGTATATCTAGTATGAACCACGACACTTCTATTCCTTTCGGAGCTACCTTCGGAACTCCTATCGGATTGCCTCAATCGGAATTTGGAAGTTACAGTAGCTCTAGCATCGCGTACGATACACCTAATCCTTTTGGAATTTCTAACATCGTTTCAGGTATTCGTACTCCGTTCGAAGATATACGTTATGGTAAGTAGAGGAGTTTAAGGTAAAGGTCATTTTAATGAAGGCACATTGATTCATCTATCATTTGACAGGAATTCCTTTTGAACGTCGGCTAAAAGATCAATTACCAGCAGATCCTATATCGTTGACACTAGCCTATAAAAATCTCGTAGCACCAAAGATATATTACAACAAAGGAAAGAAATTAGTATCGGAGGGAAGCTTATCGTTCGGACAGAGAACATTGCCGATCGAACTGAAGAAAGAAAAGAAATTGATCGACGTACCCGAAGAAAAACTCGTGACCGTCGATAGGCCCATCATGGAATTGAAACTCTCTCCGGCGAGTTCTATAATGATAGGAGATAACGACGACGAAGAGGATGATACCTTTGCCGAGCTTGAAGCTATGGAACGAGAACATTTGGAACAGAGAGAACAACTCGATCGCGTGGCATCGAATTTTTTAACTTACGGGTAAGAACAACAGTAAGAAAAAATACAATCAAATGAAATATATTCTCTTGTCTTTTGTGATAATTCGCTCGAATCGTTTCAGAGACGTAGGTTACAGACCGATAGACGTGAATGTTGTCAAGCCAAACATTGCCATAAATGCACCCTCGTTAAATCTTCAAGGAGTAGATCAAAGAATCGTATCGAATGGAGAAGAAAATGGCATCGATGGAAAATTAATCGGACAAAATGTAGGACATAGATCGATAGGAGGCTGTGGACCGAGTGGTCCACCTCTACCAGGCTACGTACCAGGATCCGTAATAGTTCAACAACAAATTGAAATGGAGAAACCACAAGAGAATGAGCAAATCGATATGGATTCTTACAATTACAACGTCGATAACGTTGAAACTAACGAAGAAGTCGAACGTAATTCAGGTTTGGGAATCATAGCTAGATTGCGAAATGCGGCTCAAAGAAATAAAATATCGTCCTTGTGTTTTCATTGACGTGACATATTTTCCCTCCTCATAAAGTTCCTTTATGCGGAACTTTTTTCGACTGCATTTACTTCGAATATATGATACATGTATTGGAATAAAAAATGTTATTTGTAATATGTACAAATCTATTTTGATACTCGCGTATTGTACTTATTCCCAATCCAAATAAATTATAGAAAATAGTATATTTATAATAGTATATATAATAAAATAATGTTCAATGTACTTAAATATATTCTAGTAGATATATATTTATATATAAACGAAAAGATGAATTTTAGTGATTTTCAAAGGACTGTTTAAGAGCCAAGCCGATTTGTAACGCGAGCAAACTCATCCACGAAGATCCTCCTCTCGTGTTTGCGTATATCGAAATTTATGGTCTGCCTTCGACTTCCTTAACCTAAAGCACGGCTGTCAACGCATCATAAAACGCTACGGCCGAGAAAAGGGAATCCGCGTGCTGGTTCGAGACCAGATGGCAGAACACGATGATTGTCTCGAAGGAAGCATAATGTATCTCTGAAAGAGAAAGAGCAAGAGAGAGAGGGAGAGAGAGAGGGAGAGAGAGAGAAAGAGAGAGAGAGAGAGAGAGAGAGAGAGACGGCTGTCTTTCTATTTAAAGAATATCCAAAGCTAGGCCCAGGGCATGACCTTACTGTGAGAATATTCTGCCTTTTTCCTTCTTTTCTCTTTTTTTCAACCACGTAGACGACGAACTTTACGATACCGTTCTTATACTGCGAGCAACATGATTTGTTTCATTTACATATGCTCCTGTAAATTGTCCTATCGTCATGGATAAATCTCTTCGCGTGCAATAACATCTTCACATTTATTAATGGATATTTCAAACTACCGAACGATATATTCATTTAATTATGCATTCACTCTTTAACGTATCAATAAAAAATTATCGATTTTTATATACAAACATTCAAATATTTTATTATAAATTAAAATATTAATCATTTCAACGTTGATAAAAACAAAAAGAAGAGAATTCAATGAATCGTATCAGGAAGTTTAGCAAATTCCAACAAAATATTATAAAATAATCATCCTATATTTGGAATTGCATAATTCTTTGTTCTCTTTCATGCAAATATAAGCAAATATATTGGATTACAAAATAAAATGCGGAGAAAAAGACAAGTTGTTATAGATTTATTTGAAAATATATTAACTGTTTGTAACGAAATTATTCAGTTTGCAATATGACACCGATACTTAAGATTTTATCGTGAATTTGAATCACTTATTTCGATGCTATGATTTATAATAATAACATTTAAATAGTTACCTTATAAAGTGCCATTTTTTATTATAAAATATGCGCCATCGTAAGATCATATAATTTTGAATAATAACATTCAGCACATTTATCGAAAGTTTTTAAAATAATTATATAAATCACATAAATACTTCTTGTAGATGGAGGCGACTCTCTCTCTCTCTCTCTCTCTCTCTCTCTCTCTCTTTCTCTTTGTTTAACATGCAAATAAAACATTCGCGTATGCATCTTTATATGACAATATTTATGAAAATATATATAATAAATGACACGTAAAATGTGTGATATAACAATTCGTTAATGATACTATCCTTTGAATTTTCACAACAATCAAGAAATCTTACCAAAACGCACGAGATTTGATCAATTTTGATCTTTTATTATGAAGGAAGAACGTGCGTGCAAACAACGCGAATAAAGATAAGAGAGCAACGTGAGATAACTTGTAACAGGTTAATCTTGTTTCGATCGAAGATCGTAATGTTATTCATTGTTATGATTGATTATCTTTGATGTTGTTAAGATATCGCACGATGATCGTGCCAAATCTCGAGCTGAGTCGGTAACTCTTGGACTATATGAAGCGGTTCTCTTCTTTCCGAAAGCATACGAGTCTGCGATCGTTAAGCAAAATGTGTACGACACAGAAAATCATTTTACCCTTATTCTTATTCTTCCTCGCTTTTTTGTCCGTTTCGATTCGGACAACGTTTGCGGAAGAAAATCCGGATATCGTTAAATCTATTAAATCTTTTCGAGATGAGCAAGAGGACGCGAAACATTCTATCGAGAGTATAGATCTATCGGTACCGCAGAGTATACTAATCGCTAAGGAAAAGGTTAAACCTTTTAAAGAAGAACAACAGAAAATGATGGATATCTCGGATCACAAGACCTTCGTTAACAAGAATACCAAAGTAACGAATAATGACGAGGTGAGTGGCATTAGTTTTCATTATATTTCCAAGTCGATCGAATTATAAACCCAGTAAACATTTGCTTTTACTTTTTATAGATCGACCGTGCAGTTATGATAGAACAATTAGAAGATTTAATATCGAAACTATCGGAATATAGGAACAAACAAGATGTAAATACAGAAAATTTGACTGATCTTTATTCGGCCACTACGTCTACGATCAAAACGGAAGAAAATAAGGAGCAACAGGCGTACGATGAAAACGACAAATTATTCGAGAAAACAGACATTGGTACTCAAAACAGATTACCCAAGCGTCACATCATTTCTACCGATGATTGTTTTGCGACGGAAGTTGTTCCGACAAGAGCATTAGTTCCAGTAAGAACACTATTTCCAACATTAGTGTCACCGTCAGTTGTATCCTCGGCAGCATCTTCGGCAGCATCTTCAGCGGCTACGTCGGCGGCATCTTCAGCGGCATCTTCAGCGGCTACGTCGGCGGCTACGTCGGCGGCATCTTCAGCGGCTACATCGGCAGCATCTTCGGCGGCCACGTCGGCAGCATCTTCGGCGGCATCTTCGGCGGCATCTTCGGCGGCATCTTCGGCGGCATCTTCAGCGGCCACGTCGGCAACATCTTCGACGGCATCGACAACGACAACGACAACGACAATGGTTTCAGAAGTGGTACCAGAAGTGGTACCGGAAGTGGAGCAAGTGGAAGAAGTGAGATCATTTAGCCTTCCAACGCCTATATCTATCGAAATCTTGGGACAGATGGAATGTGCCGCTGAAGCGATTGACTATGGACACCCTAATATATTAAGTACAATAGTCCATGAAATTTTATGCGAGGCGAAAAAGCTGCTTTACTATTTGCTGCACGCATTTCTCAATCTGAAGAGTGAAATCTCTATTGGACCACAGACAAGTTTGTTGAAAGTTTATGATGGTTCTAATTTTATTGGATTCGTAGAACGTTTTCCAACGATAGTGGAAGAATTATTAAAGGAACCGCGACATTTGCTCGCTTTACCAGAGATTATCAAATCTGCTATACCACTTAAAAGCATCATTCACACGTTGATCAGGCTGAGCACAATTTTTCTAGATCTTCTAGGACGTTTATATGAAATTGCTTCTCCTATATTCCATGATATTTTCCATCATATCTTCCATCATATCGAATCAAACGTTCTTACAGCTTTGTTAGATTTACTTAAGGAAATTTTCATCAATCCAGTTACAACTGGAACGATCATAAGTACTTTGAAGGAAGACCCAATCTTTATCGATACGGCGAGATCTGTTTATGATGGTTTCCAAGCGTCTGGCATACGAGAAGTATTTACGACTTCGACATCGGTCTCCTCGACGGCTTCCTCGTCGGCGTCCTCGTCGGCATCCACGTCGGCAGCCTCGTCGGCGGCCTCGTCGGCGGCCTCGTCGGCTTCCTCGTCGGCGGCCTCGTCGTCGTCGTCGGTAGCGGCTACGACTTCGTCGGTAGAAGAAACAATCTTACCTGAGGTATCGCTACCATCGGAAACCATTGTTGATGTACCCATTAAGGAAGTGCCTATCACTACTATCGTTACCGAGCCAGAAGTCTTAATAGAGGAAGTTCCATTAACGGCAACAACAACGACGGACACTTCCAGTGTAGAATCTTTTCCGGCGAGTTCCTCCTCCTTTACTTCAAGGATTTCGACTCTGCCAGAAGTAGAAGAAACGGTTTATTCCAAACCATCCTTTTTCTCGTGGGTAAAGCCAATATTCTCAACAGTTTCAAGCGGAACCAAAGACTTGACTGGCATCACTTCCTCGTATACGAGATCGCATAAACATCATCATCATCATCAACCCTCGAAGGATACTTCTTCTCTCGTCTCTGAAACCTTGATATCAAACATTGAGCCAGTAATTTCCACTGTTTCACCTGCAATTGCGCCTCGTATAACAAATCTTCTGCCAAAACCGAGTATAAGTTCTGCTGCTACTGCTTCTGCTAGTTCATCGTCAACATCTTCGGGATCTTCGGCAGCTTCGGCAGCTTCTCCAACTTCTCCAGAAATCTCTTTGAGTACTCTTGAAAACTTACCCTTGAGATTTATGTGGCCTGTCACTTTACCCAGAGAAAAAGTGATCGCTGCTATTGGTAACAGGAAACTAACACCGGGTGACGTCGTTCTTCTATCCATGAATCCGAATAGAACTTTCTTTAGTCGTATCACCGACGCAGTCAGTCCACTTGCTTTTTATTCTCTTAAACCAACTATGGTCCCAAAAGTTCTCAATACTTTCGGAAGAATTTGGAGAGTCGTTCCAGGAGATTTCCACGACGTTAATTGTGAATCTCTTTTCAGCGATGTATATTAACTGAATTTATACAGTAGCCACAAATATTGTCAATCTATTGATATCCTCCATTTAATGGAATAAATAAAGATTTATTTTTTCATCATATAATGTATATCCTATATATTTTCTTTTAACTGCTACGCAAATCCTTTTCTACTTGTATTTTTTTTTAAGTTGACATTTCCAACGTATGATTATAATATACGAGTAACATGGGTACATATTTTCAACAAATTTCTATAATCAATGAAGCGGATTGGGTTATTTTATATCGAGACGTATGAAAATATAATACATTGACATATATTATAATGAATTCATTCGACTAAATGGCAAAGAATTAAATGTGTTAAGATAAGAACTTCTCCATTCTGTTTGCGATCTTTAATAGATGAAACACCTGTTATTACTGAAAAAATAACTTGTCTTACGTAATCCATACAAATGTAAATGGTCTTGAATAGTTTACATTTATCGTCGATATTCGTGAGATTAATCGAATGAGAGATTATTAGATAATTCGAGAAGAATATAATGCAATAAATATATACATAGATATAAATAAAAGCTCGCACGATGAATCTATCCTCTAATTCATAAATGTATTTTATTTCACATATCTAGGCTGTGTCAATTTAATACGATTAATCTTTCGCTCGAATAATTTGAAAGTTACAATGACGTTGTTGAATTTTCGATAGATTAAACACAAGTGTTACAAATCAAGGCTAGGTATACAAGACGAAAATGATAATCAACGAAAGGTATTCAATATTATGTTCAATATGTGCATAATTAGTAAAATACGGTTAGTATATAAGAGGTGCGATGTTAAAGATCGTTATAGCATTTGAAGAAGTGTCCGATCACGATCCATGGAATCATGAGACGCACCGTTTTCTTAACAGTTATCTTGGCATCTGCCATCTTGGCATTCGTACAGGTAAGCTCTTTTTAATTATATATTTATTGAGAAAATTCTTGTGCTCATTGCTATGTATCAAAATATAAATCAAATTTGATGATATATATATATATATAAGTATTATTATGACAGGCAGGTCCCGTACCGAAAAACCAAGAAGATGCACCGGCAAAATTAAACGAAGTTGATAAATTTCAAAATGAATTGGAGGAAACATGGGTAAATGTAAGGAATACGATGGACAAAAATTACAACGAATTGTTGGAGGATCCATCAATAAGCGCGTCTTTTTTAAATACCTTTAACGAGTTGATCGAAGAAGTCAACAAAGCGAACGAAAAAATAATTGACAATGCCCGTGACCAGGTCGATAATCTCCATAAGGTATGATATAACACATCCATATGATGCATACAATTACAATATATACGATATAACAATATTATGATTTTCCTCTTTTCTTTGACTTTCTTATTAGTCTAACGGTAAAGCAGAGAACAATTTTAATACTTGGCAAGATTTTGTATTGGACTCTTGGAATGCATTTCAAGACAAATTGTGGGATCAATACGAAAAGTTTATGGAAAACCCAAAAGTGCAAGAAATTGTTCGCGAAATCGAAAATGCGATGAGAACGACCAAAGATATCCTGGAAGTAGTTATCGAAGATACTCGCGCACGAATAGATGCTGAAAGGGTACAATCAACGATATAATACCTTTATAATAGATCATTTCTTTTTCATTCATTTATTTTGTTTACATATCATTTTCATTAGTCCGAAAATGCCGATCAAGTCGTAGAATTTGAAGATAGTGGTCTTCAGGAGAAGGCACAGGATACTTGGAAACGATTTAAGTACCAGCTGAGAGAAAAATACGATAAATTTATCAACAAACCGAAAGTCAAAGAAATCACCGAGAAATTTAACAAGGCCCTCGACAAATCCAAACAGTCCCTAAAGAATATTATATCTTCTATTAGGAAAAAACGCGTTACGGATTCCAGAGTATGTATTAACGATATTATCTCCGTTTCAATGAATTAACCTGATATCAATTATTTCTGTATTTAGTCCTACAATTTGGAAGAAACACAAGAACCACAGGTTGCTGGTTTCAAAGAAAAAGTACAGGAAGCTTGGAACGACCTGAAGAATAATCTAGAGGAGAAAGCCAAAGCAATATGGAACAACCCTACAGTAAAAGAAGTAGTCGAAAAAGGTGAACAAGCGGCCGAACAAGCAAACAAAGCTCTAAGAGATGCCATCGAGAATGTTCGTAATGAAATCGATAGAATTGTCAAAGTATGTATTAATGAAATAACAAATCTTCGTGACAAATATACCTATCATTCGATTAAAATCAAAATCTAAATTAACGTGGATTCCTATACCAATGTTACTAATCCAAGGAAGCTGAAAGGTTAAAAGAAAAT